ATGTGTTTTTTAGTTTATTATTTAGAAAATAATCCAAGAGTAAAACAACGAATGATAGAAGAAATTGAATATGTTCTCGGCAAAGATCCAAATTCTTCATTCACATCGGAAGATTTATCAAAACTTGAATACGTTGAAGCTATTATCAAAGAAGGTTATTTACATGTCAAATTCATTAAATTTATTATAATTATTACTGTACTATGGTAATAATAATTCATTTCAATTTTCTATAATTGTAGCATCAAGATTACGTACAATTGCTCCAATACGCATGAAACAAAATCCCGTACCAGAAGTTCTAGGTGGTTATAAATGGACTCAGAATACTCATTTTCTGTTAAATATGGATGCAATTCAAAAACACAAATTATATTGGAAAGATCCTGATGTATTTAATCCAGATAGATTCATAGATTAAGATAATCCAGATAATAAAAGTCCTCTTTATATGTTTGGTGGAACTTTAAGAAAGTGTAAGTAAATTTCTTCTTAATTATAAAAGAATGCATAATCACATGATAATTTACCATCATTTATCTAATTGCGGGTCCGGGAAGAAACTTGGCGATGATGGAATTAAAAGCTACCTTAGCAATGTTATATCGAAAATACAATATTGAATTGATGGGACCATTAAAAGATCGTATTAGGTCGTTTAGGGTTTGTGAAGAGTTAAAAGTTAAATTGAGAAAAAGGAAAAACTTCTGATAAACTGTAATTTTATTATTATTACTTAATTTTTATTATTTAAATGCTTCAGTGCAGTGAACCATAGTTCATTGAAATGTTTTTTCTTCTTGCAATAAAAATGGCCATGCATTATCAGATTTGAAGACTCCCACCATAACAAATGAAATATGAATGACAAGCTTCAAGGAGTTATTAAATTATAATGTATTAAATCATTGAATCGATTATGTTCAGTCTACAGTGGTATATCGCCATTATACTTTCTTACTTTCTTAATTTTCTGATTTTTCATCAATTATTTTCATCTAACACTTAACAACCTATAAATTTACCTTTTAATTCTGGAAGAAATATTATTTATCGAGTAAATTTACCCGAACCTCTTAATAAGAAAACACTCTTGAGTTTATGAATCTCTATGAAAAAACTTTATATATTTTTTATGCTGTTCTCGGTCGCGAAACCATATTTATTGATAATAGTTCTAATTCAAGAGATGTTTTAAGAAATCAGGCCTGCGATTTTTTGAAGGCAAAGCTTTTCTCGCTTGTTTTTACAATATGGACACCAGGTACCTATGATTTTATATTCCAAAGTGGTGCATTCAGCACATTTCCAATAACAGATACGCAATTTTTTTTAGCAATTTCAAGATTAAGAGGTCTTTTATGTGCACAATACGACACCATTGCTTGTTTTTGTATCTTATACTAGCAAAAGTGGCAACCACTCATGTCCTTTGGTGCAATATCATAATAAAGAGAGCGGCATTCATAATTTTTGCAAATTCTAATTCTTTAGCAATTGAAATATTTAAGTCTAGTTAATGTATCGGGACATGTAAGACACCATGCCTTACTATCTTTTATACTATGTCCACTCATACTCTTTTGTGCATTTTCATTTTAATGGAGTTATTGCAATTAATGTAGAGCATCATATATATGTTTTTAATGTTTTTATATAAGAAGATCGAAATGAAATGCATCAAGTTACTAATGCATAATTTATAAATCTAATAATTTATACTCATCTATTTATATTTATTTGTGTAATTTGTTAAAATAAATCGATATTTTTTTCTTCACTGTAAAATACGAAGAATCAAAGATTCGATTTATGTAATATAAAATTCAATCAATCAATTACCTCCATCGTTAGTGAATGAAGGGCGCATCTCACATCAACAATTGACCAAATAAATTAAAGTGTAAGCAACGAAGTTGGACCTTTTGAACAAAGCCTAAATGAAATATTTACGGTGGTATTGTTAACTTGGAAAATGTTTGAAACAAGAATTATTTTTGATTTAATGTTGGCAGCTAATGAATTTTATTTTAAGAAGAAGCAGAGATGAATTTTCTCCTCAATTTCTAGGCCATAGTCATGCTAGTACAGTGGAACTAATAAAATTTTGGATGATTATAATACTTTAATGTGAGATAATACTACTACTAAGGCAAACGGAAGTAAAATTTCTTAGTAAAGTCATCTAAATATGCTCTTATTATTATAAAAAGAATATCGAAATTGGGACCCTTATAGTATATATACTATGTATAGAACAAATGGAGTATTTTCAATTATTGATTATGGAGTTTCGAATTCAATAGAAAAATTACTTAGAGAAATTTATTTTTTAATCTTTACGTTTTTTTACACTGAAGTTGTGTTATTATATTTATGTCATTGTTTCCGTTTTGGAATTTTGCAGATTAACAAATATGTAACAAATAAATAATCAAATCTCGTACAACGTAAATTGAGAATAAAACTCTTTTGTCCAACTTTTTTTTTTTTTTTGAATTCATATTAAAGTGTATCAACTGTATACAAGTAGTTTCGTTTTTGTAAGTTTTTATTCATATATTATTTTTTTTTTTTTAAATTAATATTTAAAATTAATATTATTTTATCGCTTTAATCTAAATAATCGTTTTCTTCTTTTTAATAATTAATAATTTAAATAATTGATAGATCAAAAATAATCCGAGAAAAGCATATTATATAAATCAGAAATGCATTGTACCAATCTTTCTAATTAAATATTTTTCTTTAAAATATTATAATCTTACCCCTGTTATCATAATTCTGTTACCTAAAATTGAAGAATAAAAAGATGTTCAAGAAACCAATTGCAAGCATCAAACCTTATTCTCCTTTAAGAAGTTCAGATCGACGTAAATTCCGTGAGGAATTGATCAAACTTTATCCAGTGCTTGAAAATGAGGAGAATAAATCATCTGACACAAGTTGTAATTTATTGGTACCTGAACATATTCAAAAGGCCAACATAGGGACACATAATGGACATCATGGAGTACTTTATGTTGATGAATTTAAACAACCTTTATGGGTTAGATTGGACAAAGACAGAAATGAAATTTTGATTCCTAGTGGTAAAAAATAAAATAAAATAAATAATCATATTATTTTTTTTTTTTTGTCTATTAAATCAGTAATTATTATCGAGGAGAATAATTATTCATTATTAATTTTTATAAACTTATTATTATATAATAAAAAGTTTATACATTATGGAAACATCCAAATATGTTGCCAAAAATACCTACATTCACTGCTGTAATTTCAAAGTTGATAGGTGGAGCGAACTTTATGATTCCAGGTATTGCATTTCCACCAGAAGGATTACCAGATGTTAAAGAAGGAGAATTAGTGTCTATTGTCATTAGAGGATATAAGTGAGTTACTTTTAATAGATAGAGAGATATATATTCTTTTAATGATGTATTACTTTCATTAATATCATGTAAATAATTCAGTATTCCTTTAGCTGTGGGTATTATGAGTGTACCCACGAATACTCTCGAGAGAGGATCAACACGTAAAGGTATTGCTGTAACAATTCTTCATATCTCTCAAGATCAATTATGGGCCATTGGAGATAAATCATTACCTCCTGATATGGATGAAGTTCAAGAAGAAGATCAGTCTGTTGAAGTTGAAAATGAAGAAGAAATTGAAGAAATTGAAGAAGAAAACAAAGAAATTACCGAATATACTATTGAAGGTTATATTTTTCTTCAGAATTTAACATATATTTAATATTATAATATTTTGTATCTTAATAGATTGACTAATTTTGAGTATTATAAAATATAAGATATCGATAATATTTTACAGGCATCATTTTATCAAGCCCTTACGGAAAAATTAACACCTTCAGGGATATTACCTATTACAAGTTCACAATTCTATTCAGATTATATTCTTCCATCGCGTCCTGTTGGAAATGAAAATATTGATGTCAAAAAATCTAGTTATAAACAAGTATATATATTTAAGATATATATAAGATGATATATATAAGATGATATATATGCAATCTATTTTCGTAAATTCTGATTTTTTAATATAATATATTAAACCATTTTAAAAAATAGGTCATAAAATTTTTGAAAGTAATGGAGAAAAAAGGCATAATTGGATTAAAAGTTAGACAAGGAGATACATTATTGACGAAGGTAAACTGGGAAAGTGAAGAGTAAGTGAATAAAATTTTATTCAAGTTCTTTGTTTTTTTTTTCCTCCACTTTCTTTTTTTTCTTTTATATATGTAAATTGAACACTATAATATTTATAAAATTTTATGATTATTAATTTATTTATTATACAGACTTCAAACATTCAGATCCCATAAATCTATTGAGAAAGCAGCATCCGCTAAATTAAATGTAGCATGTATGGATGAAAATTTAGATAAAATTCAAATTATAGAAGTCTATAAGCCAAAAGGTGCCATTGCGGAATTTTTTGAAAAACAAGGAAAAATGTTAGTTCGTTTTTTAATTTATACTAAATTATACTAAATTATACTAAATAATTAAATTTCATTTTAGAAAAGAAAATTTTTATGAATTTAAAGAAATTCGCACAATAATTTTTGACTACATAAACCTGAATAAATTAATGGATAAAAAAAATAAAAGGTTTATTTCATTATCTTTCATCTTTCACAAAGATCGTTTATTTATTTATTGGGATATTTGATGATTTTTATCTTTTTTTTTTTTTTTTAAAAAAAAAAAGATATGTTGTTCTTGATGAGAATCTTCGCGAAATGCTTGTAACAAAAAAAGGCGAAAATGCCCCAGTCACATTGACTCGTAATGATTTAGTCCAAAATATCATGGAACGCATGGATGAATATCATTCAGTCACTTTTCCAAAAAATGAACCTGAATTTAGGTTTGTTATTATATAATATTCTTATAACAATCATAACAATGAAATACAATAATAATAATTATAATTATAATAATGGTAATATAATTTATAATAATTTTAACTATAATTTAAAGAAAAGGATCACCTAAATGCATCCAAATTTTAGAGGAACGCAGGACATATAATAAAATAGCCACAATTATTAGAGGATTCGAAGAGTATGGATTTTCTTCTAATGAATTATCTGAACCTCTCAAACAATTATGTGCAAGTAGTGTTTCAGGTATAATTTATTTACAATTTAATATTTAATTTAATATTTAATTTAATATTTATTTTATTATTTAATTTAATTTATTATTTTATTTTATTATTTTATTTTATTAGTTACACAAAATCAATATTCATCTCCAAAGAAACCATTATATGAAATTATGATTCAAGGACCTCATACTAAACATGTAATAAATTATTTGGTTAATAAAAGAGGATTTCCTGAAAAATATATTCAAATTACAGTAAGTAAAAAGGGTAAAAATAATAATAATAATAATAATAATAAATAAAGTTATTTTTTGTTGAAAAATAAAGTTATTCTTATGATTTATAATTTATTTATTTTACTTTTGAAGTGTTATAAATGTATTAAGGTATAATTGAATGAATGTATAAATATATAAGTAAATGTATAAGTAAATGTGTAGGTAATCCAAAATTATATTAATTCAATAATTAAATCAAGTAAATTATGATGAAAATCTTGGAAAACTAATTAACAGTATAATGTAATTAGAAATAATTAAGATTGTAGGATAATTTTGTCTCTGGAACTTTGTTAAACAACATGACACAAGAAATTTCTTTTGTGCCAAGATGTTTCTAAATTTGGAAAAGAATAGATTTCTTGGCATATAAATAATGTAGTGTTAGATATAAATAGAACGTTACCTCATTTTATAAAATCGAAAGTTTTCTTACACAACAAAATATTTGTTTTTTTTTTCCACTTTCTGTTATTATTATTATAATAATTTTGTTATTTGATTTGATTTATTAAATCGAAAGATAACCAAATATTTGTTTTTTGTTATCATTATTATAATAATTCTTTTAAATCTATTATTATTTACTTTTACAGAGCTAGAAATTATTATTATTAAATTGTTATTAAATTATTATAAATTTACTGTACAAAAAAAAAAATGGTTGGAAAAATACAAGATACCAATGAATATATTTATATTCGTTCATCGGAAGATAAAGATATTATCGAAGTTCAAGATTTTAATACTAAGGAGATATTATATAAAAAAATGAGACAAAAAGTAAATAAAGAAATATCTACTTTGTTCATGAACTTTTTTGTTACTTTTTTCCTTTTGTAAAAATATTTTTTATTTATTTTTATTTTTTATTTTTTGACTTTAAGGTTTCGGGATCTTATTGTTCTCAATTGGTTGATCCAATATCTGAAGTATTACTCGCCGAAAGTAAAGGAAAAAGTTCCAAAGACAAGTCAAAGAAGATTTTATTATACCAAGTATGTTCTATTAGCTTATAACATATATTTATAATATACATAACGTATGCATCTAATGTAGATTTATCTAAATAAAATATCTAACCTATAAAAATATCTAATATATATTTTTAGCCCGATGATTCCATAGATTTAAAAGATAACACCGGATTATTAGGTCTTTTAGAATATAAATTCATTTGGGAAGGAGAAATTTATTTATGGAAGAAACGATTTTTATCCAAAGAAATGGAATGTAAAATGGTACATGGTGATGATCCGGGAATTAGAGTTGCTTTATTTAGACCAGCAAGTAATAGTAAAAAAATGTCTTTAGGAAAAATGACTATTAGATATTATAATATGAAAAGAATTCCCGTAAATGATAAACGTGGATTAGAATTTATTTTATTAATTTCCATTTTATCATTCTTGGATAAAATAGAAGATGAAAATTTACAACGAAAGAAAAGCAGAGAAGTTTCTACTACTACTACAAATATTATTCCAGGTGTTCAGGGTGTAGAACATCTTAATAATAATAATTATAATAATAATAGAAATTTAGATGAAATTTCAAGTGGTAGTGGAAATAATAATGAAAACAAAAGAAAAGAGAAAAAATTAAAGAAATCGGCATCAGCAGCAGAAAAAAGATTAGATGAAGAAAGAATTAGACAACAAGTACACTTGGGACGTTTGAAACAAGTAGCGGATGATGAAGAGTTAGCGAGACAATTATCAATGGAAGAAAGAAATAATTTTACACGACGCAATAATTACAATCGTAGTAACAATTTTAGTAGTAACAATTATAATAACAATTATAGTAACAATTATAATAACAATAACGAAAAACTTCGTCACCGTAATGCATATCACGACTCACCTACTTCTTCACAACGTACAAAGAAGAAACATAAAGAATATTATGATTGATTTATTTTATTTGTGACACGCTGTAGATTTTTCATATATAAATATATTTATAACATAAATAATATGTGACATTATTTATTTCAATTTAGATGTAACATTTTTTTTTTTTTTTGCATAGAAATTTTTGTATTAAAATATAGAATTAGTTATTATAAATATATATATACTGTATATTGGGTTAACGATCAACAATCACGCGATCTAACGATTAAAGTTATTATCATTATGAAAAATCAAGAAAAAGAATTGTTGATTATTGCTTTAATTGGAATAGCAAAGTAACCTCTAATCTTTCTTAAATATATTTTTAATTATTTATTTTGATAAGCACTTCTAAAATGGTTTATCATAAATCAGCGGATTTTTCTATAATCTGGCAACAGTTTGTGTAACAACGATTAATTAATTTGAGTGTTCCTTAAAATAGACACCCTATATAAATAAATTAATTTAAAGTAGATACCACGTGATAAATACAATTGTCAAGATTATTTATATAATAAAAAAAACGAGATGTTACCTGTTAATCAGATCAAAAATTAATTCAAATTTTTAAAAAAAACATAAAATGTCTGCATTTTTACGAATTTTCAGATCTCCTCAGTATGAAACAATTCCGGATGGAATACATAATGAACATCATTTCGAGTCACCAGAAATTATCAGAGATATTGTCTTAGGGTTAAGTGATGGTTTAACGGTATTTTTGAATTCTTTCATTACATTTTATATAATTTATATGAATTATTATGTTAATTATTTCAAAATATTTAACATAAAGTTGATTGTATTTCTTTGATTAATTCTTCATGTGTTCATTCAGGTTCCATTTGCTTTAGCAGCTGGATTATCATCATTCGGAGATTCTCGAGTTGTTGTGATGGGAGGAGTTGCAGGTTAATCAACACAAAATCATAATATTTCGTATTTCGTTTAATTATTCATCAAATATATAAAATATAGATGTATATATATAAATAGAACTTATAGCTGGAGCTATTTCTATGGGATTAGGAGGATATCTTGGTATTTATTATTTTTTTATCATATTTATTTATCATATTTTTTATCATATTTATTTATTTTATCATATTTATTTAATTTATTCTAGCTGCTAAATCAGAATATGATCATTTTGAAAGTGAACGATTAAGAGAATTCTGGTGATTTATACAAAAAGAAATTATATTTTAAAAAGAAATAATAATAAAATTTTCATTGTTAATATATATGTATGTATATATATATATATATATATATTTAAATTTTAAATATAGGGAGGTCGAAAATTGTATGGAAGCTGAAGTACAAGAAATTATTGGTATGTGATTTTATATATTATTCATTATATATTAACAAAGAGTATATTAATAAATGGTGAATTTTATATTTATATATATAGATATTTTAGCGCCATATGGATTAGATACGAATTCTTTAACACCTTTAATTGAAAAGTTAACATCTAATCCTGAAAAATTTGTTGATTTCATGATGAAATTTGAATTAAATCTTGAAAAACCTGATCCATCTCGAGCATGGGTTGAATATTATTTTTATTATTATTATTATGATTATAATTATTATTATTATATTTTATTGTCATATTAACTTTTTTTTTATTTATTTTATTTATTTATCAGAAAAGTGCCTTCACAATTGGAATTTCATACCTCTTAGGTTGGTTGATTATTAATTACCGTAGTTATCACAATTATATTTACAATTATATTTATCACAATTATGTTTATCACATATATATATAAACAGGTGGATGTGTTCCATTGCTTCCTTATCTATTTTTTGAATCAGCCATGATGGGTTTATATGTTAGTTGTATTGTCACCTTAATCTGTTTAATTATATTTGGATACATCAAAGCACTTATGACTGCTCCTGAAAAAGCATTTAAGGCTGCTATACAAACTGCTCTTATTGGAGCTATTGCTGCAAGTACAGCTTTTGGTGTAGTAAGATTACTTAAACCCGATGAACCTGATGGTTTATAATTATTTTTTTTTATTATTATTTTATTATAAGTATTTTATTATTATTGTTATTTCATAAATATTTTATTATAATTATTTTATTATAATTATTTTATTATAATTTTTAATTATCTTTTTAGTATAGTAAAAATAATATCGCAAAATATCACAAAAAAAATACATCACATTAAATAAAACATCACAAAAATATCACAAGGATTTTCGACATACATGATATTGTAACAATACTGCAGTATATATATATCTGTGTTTGTGATTCTCTGTTAAAAATAATTTCTTTCTCAAAAAAAATTCAAATATATCCAATTAATTAAAAGAATATTCAAATAAATTAAAGAAAATTCAAGTAAATTCAAATAAATAAATAAATTAAAAAATGAATACAACATTTAATGAAATTCCAATTCTTAAAACAAAAATTATTACCGATGAATCATATCATAAAAATTACAAAGAAATGTCGGATATAGTTAAAATATTAAATGATAGATTAGAACAAGCAGCTAGTCAAGGAAGTGAAAAAGCAATAAATGTTCATCTTAAAAGAGGTCAATTATTAGTTCGTGATAGAATTGATTTACTTTTAGATGAAGATTCCCCATTTTTAGAATTATGTCCACTTGCAGGATGGGATCAAGAAGATATGACATTAGGTGGATCAATTGTAGTAGGTATAGGATTAATTTCTGGTATAGAATGTTTAATTTCTGGAAATGTTCCAACATTATTTGGTGGATCATCAAATGAAATTAGTGTAATTAAACAATCAAGAATGATGACTATAGCTTGGGAAAATAGATTACCATTAATTCAATTAATTCAAACTGGTGGAGCAAAATTAGATCAACAATCAAAAGTATTTATTCCTGGTGGTAGTCAATTTCGTAAATTAGCTGAAAGAACAAAAAAAGGTTTACCAACTTGTAGTATTGTATTTGGTAGTTCAACTGCTGGTGGTGCTTATACTCCAAGTTTAACTGATTATATAATTATGGTAAAAAATCAAGCTAGAGTATTTTTGGGTGGTCCTCCTTTAGTTAAAATGGCTACAGGTGAAATTGTTGATGCTGAAAGTTTAGGTGGAGCTGATATGCATAGTAGAAAATCTGGTCTTTCTGATCAATTAGCTTTAGATGAATTTGATGCTATACATAAAGCAAGAGAATTTATTTCAAGACTTAATTGGTCAAAAAAAGGAAAAATTCCTTCTACTCATTTTCTTGATCAAATTGAAGAACCTTTATATGATGTTGGTAAATATTTATTTATCTATTATTATTTATTTATTATTGACTATATATAAATTTATCATTATTTTATATTTGTTATTCATATATTTATAATCTATTATATTTTATATATTATTGATTTTATTTTCAACTAGATGAACTTCTTGGAATTGTATCATCAAATATAAAAATACCATTTGATGTTAATGAAGTTATTAATCGTATAGTAGATGGATCAAGATTTTCAGCATTTAAACCTTTATATGGATCAAATCTTATTGCAGGTTGGGCTTTTATTCATGGATTTCAAGTGGGTATAATTGCAACCAATAATGTGATATTTACTCAAGAAGCAAATAAAGCTACTCAATTCATTCGTTTATGTAACATGACGTAAGTATATAAATAATATATGTGAATAATATATGAATTCTATATGAAATAATATAACAAATAATATTAAAATATATAAACAAATAATATTGATTTATAAATATAGAAATACACCACTTTTATTTCTTCAAAATACTACTGGATTTATGGTAGGAAAGAAATATGAAGAAGAAGGTATAATTAAAGCTGGTTCCCATTTTGTAAATGCTGTTAGTAATAGTGAGGTACCAGCTATTACAATTATGATGGGTGCTTCTTATGGAGCTGGAAATTATGCATTATGTGGTAGATCTTATAATCCAAGGTAGTAATTTATTTTATTAATTTGTTATTTATTATATTACAATATAATAATATAATTATTATCAAATAGGTTTTTATTCTCTTGGCCAAATAGTAAATGTTCTGTAATGGGTCCAGAACAATTAACAGGAGTTATGGATATTATTGCTAGAGAATCTGCTGAAAGGTAATTTTCAAAAATTAATATTTTAATTAATATTTATAAAATATTAATAATAACATTTGATATCATTTCAAATTTTAATTAGACATGGTAAAAAATTTAATGAAGAAGCAGCTCAAGCAAGTAAAACAATGTTAGCAAGTATAGTAGAGGAGGAATCTGATGTTTATTGGACAACATCAAGAGTTTTTGATGATGGAGTTATAGATCCAAGAATGACTAGAGTAATTATAGGTTTTTGTTTAAGTGTGATTTATAATGAAAAAGTTAAAGGTGGTTCCTTGGGTGGTGTTAGTAGAATGTAATTTTTCATGATATTATTAAATATTACATTATTATATTATTATTTCATCATTTTTTCATTATTTCATTATTATTATTACAAATTTATTTTTTCAGATGCACAAGGTTATTTTTATTAAAATTTCTTATATGCAATATATATATATATACACACACACACAAGAAATTAGAAAAAAAATATTTCATTAACCATTTTGATAAATTGAACTTTTTTTTTTTAGAAAAAAAAAGCCATAAATCAAGTAGATAAGTAAATAAATAAAAAAACCGAAAATCTGTTTGGTTTTGTAATTTACATATAAAATTTACAGGTCTCCAATTCAATACAACCCAACACAATCCATTGATTACAAATATATATATATATAATATTTATATACATATAAATAATAAAATAATTTAAAATAATGAAACTTTTTGCACTTTTTCTAAAATTTGAATGTCTTGATCATTTTTCAAAATTAATTAATTAATTATCATCCAGGTATCATTAGATTTAATTTCTTTTGTTGAAATTTTTGTACCTTCTTGTTCAATTATCCTTTCTTTCTTGATTTTTCCACCACTACTATTGCTAGATTTAGAAACATATATTTCCAAAACATTTCTAAGGTTTGTAGTAAATCCTGTATCATTATCCACCAATTGAACAAGATCAATTACGTGCATACCTTCTTTGATAGCAATAAAATGTAATGGAACAGATTCACATGTAGCAGGAAGCAATGGTCTATATATAATAATCATAATAATAATATAATAATAATCGAATATTAATTGTATATTAAATGTATATTAAATGTATATTAAATGTATATAATAATTGTAAGATAAATAATTGTATGATATTATTAAATAAATATCTTACCCAATTCTAACATTATTTTCTAAACAAACAATATCAGCATCTGGTGTTTCATTTTCAAAATATTTCTTTATAAAATCTACGAAGAATAAAAAATCAATACATTATTAAATATATTAAATAATAAATAAATAAATATAATATTGAAAGTAAAATGAAAGCAATTTACCTGCTTCTTCCGTAAATGGTTCAAGTTGATTTTGTTGATTACCATTTAACATGAGTTCCGTATTTTGTAATTTTATTTCTGGAATAGGTATACTTTTGATTGCTCTTTAATATTATGAAATAATGTATAAAGACTTAGATTTTTGAATTTTATGTAACAAAAAGAAGTGATGTAATAAAACTTACCTATCATTCGGACGTTTTTTATTTGGAACCACAACAGTAAACCTTCTTGCGTGTTTTGATCGATTAACAAAGTAAACATGTATTGTAAAGTGTTTACCAACAATAACTTTAGAACTAACTATAGGTAATGAAAAGAATCAATTTTTAATTAAAAAAAAACAAATTAAAATAAAATAATTAATTAAATTACGCAATAAAATAATAATAATAAATTATACCTAAAAATGAAACAACAACTCCATCTCCAATTTCCATTTCCATAGGTCTGGGAGCTCTACCACCGGATAAAATTCCATTTCCCATAGAATCGTGATCAAGTATAGATGGTCTTTTATTACCACCGAAACGAGGATTTACATCTGCTGCCGGATAGAAATTCCGGTTAGCTGTTGGTGTTATAGAACCAGTTGGAGTAAACATAGCAGTAGTATTTCTAGACGAAGATTGAGATTGTTGACCATTTTTTGAATTTTTTCTTTGATGATTATTATTATAATTATTATTATAATAATTATTATTATTACCACTACTATTGTTATGATTTGGTATCGGTAAAGGAAAAGAATCCTCACGTCTTCGTAAATTACTCAAATCAAGCATACAATTCCAACGTGATTCAATACTTCTATTTTTCACCCCATTAATGATAGGCGATCCTTTAGCCACAATTGAAACGTGTCGTTGACGTTCTTCAGTAATTGGTGTATTATAAGAAGTAATTGAAAATACAGAAGATACAGAAGTACGACGAGATGATGGACGTGAATTTTGATGACGTGTATTAGGACTAAACTGGGGAACAACTTTGGGAAATGTTGGATCATCTAAAATTGTTATACTATATAAAAATGTTACTTGATCTACTGGATTAAGTGTTAAAGGGAATTTATCCTGAGACGACGAATATAAAAATTGTAAGTAAATAATAATAATAATAATAATAATAAATAAATAAATAAATAAATAAATAAATAAATAAATAAATAAATAAATAAATAATAAATAAATAATAATAAATTAAATAAAATAAAAATTAGTTACTTTTTTATTTGTTGGTTCCCAATCAAATCTTGTAACAAAACCATGAGCAATTTCCACTTTAACAGCTTCAACAGAAAACGAACTACCGGCATCAGTATTATTCTCTAATTCGACGGACATCATTAATACATGATCCAAAGGAGAAACACTAGTAGTGCGCATTCTTACATTAAGTGCTGATTTAACTGATAAAATTTTACGAAATTTACGTACTAACGGTGGATTATTTGCGATTGATATCATTAAACGTTTTTGTTCTGAATTAAAAATACGTGAAGTTGGAAGCAACAGACTTGATGATGATGATTCGAATGATGGATCTTTTATATATATATTTATAAATGTTAAAATTAAAAATAAAAAATAAAATATTAAATGTTAAAATTAAAATAAAATATAAAAGTTAAATAAATATCAATAAAAATATATAATATATAAAATATAAAATTTTAAATAAATATCAATAAAAATATATAATATATAAAATATAAAATATTTACCAACACTAAGACCTTCTAATAAATTCATCATTCCAAAATTTTCCACAGAATCTAATTCTGATGATGGTGATGATGATAATGATTTTCCATCTTCTCTTTGATTAATTTCTGATGGAATTTGAGTTATAGCTGTACTAAGTGCTAATGCTGGAGTTTGAGCTCGTGTTTTTACATATGCTATATTATAATAATAATAATGATAATAATAATAATTAAGTGATTAATAATAATGAATAATAATAATAATATTTTTATTATTATTTTTAATTATTTACTTACCTACAGGAATTGCAAGTGGAATAATACATGACCAAGATCCATTTCTCTCAATTACCACCATTTGGCGATCATTAGAATTTGGGTTATATAAATATGAAAAAATTACTGTTCCCTCTAATTGTTTAGTTGGTCTTTTATCCATAGGTGGTGGTAAAGGTGTACTAGGTGATGAAGGTGAAGTGGCAGCTGAACTTCCATGAGATCTACTAGGTGGTAAACGATATACTGCAGGTGGTGCGGGTGTAGGAGTTGATAACGTATTAGGATCAATAATTGATGCTTCAACGAATATCTCAAATTGTTGAAAAAATGTTGTAGCATTTTCTTTATCATTAATTCCTGAATCTTCAGGTAAACCAATATGAAGATAAAAATGAAGAAGTTCGTCTAAAAATTAAATAAATAAATATAAATTAAAAATAAATTTTTAATAAATGATCATATAATTTATTTGAAGTGATTATTTATAATAGAGAAATAATTAAAAAAATCACCATAAAATGCCTGATCTCTGGGCTTCGCAATAAAAATGTTTTCAACTTCTTCTTCAATACAATTTATAATGCCACTTGGAACAAGAATATCCAAAGTTGATTCTGTAAAAATATCTTCCCGAGGTTTCATGATTGAATAAATGAATAATAGTATACAGGATTAAATAGTAAATTGTAAATAATAATATTGGATTATTGGATTGATTTAACAATATTAAACGGTAATTTAAATTTTGAAAAATTATAATTTATAGGTCATAGCACGTGTTAGTTTATATAAATTATGCGTTGTATTACATTATTGCATTAATGCAACATGAAGTCGGAATATTTGTTATCTTGGACTGATTTTCAAAGGAAAGAAAAAGAGAAAAGGACATCATAATTCAAAAAAAAACATATGCATAAAAATTCTTTGTCTATGAGAAAGATACGAGAAATAAATAAATTAAAATTTTTTTTTTTGTCTGTTTTTACTTTTCTATCTAAATTATTTATAAAAAAATTTTTTTATCTAAAAATATCTAAAACCTTTGTACACGTTTTCTAATTATTACATTCCAAACCTACTTAAGGTGATCTTCAATATTATTATGATATTGATTATCATTTTTAAAAAATTCATAAATACTAATCTCTTTAATTTCATCATCATTAATTTTTTCAATTACTTCATCTCTTTCTTCTTTGACACAAGATAATTTACTTTTTTTAATATTCTTAGATATTTTTGATACACTTTCAGGTGCGGAAGAATTTCGTTGGAATGATGATATGATGGATGAATTGTCGGCAGAGAAAATACCTTCATTGATAAGGTATTGTATAAAATTACCTATTCCTCCAAAGTTTATAGCTAAAATTATAAATTTAAAAAATTTAAAAAAGTTATCAATATAAAAAATAAATTATGAATATATTAGAAAATTATAAAAATACTGTACATACTTGTCGTGGCGAGCACATATAAAAAAACATGTTCTACCTATAAAAAGCAAATAATAATAATAATAATAATAATAATAAATAAATAAATAATTTATCGTTAGAAAAAGAATTTTCAATTTTACAATTATTTGTAAAATATAGAATATTTCATACCTTGAATAAACTACCCAAATGATATGCTATAAGTGGTATCTAATTGAATTATAAATAAATAAACATGTGAAAATAAATAAAAAAAAAATGTAAATAAAAAATATAAAAAATACTCACGAATTGTAACATAAATGTGAAAATATAAGAAATCAATTTTCTCAAAGCTCGTTTCTCAATATAAACTCTTTGTGGAGACATATAACTGGAAGTGAGTAATGAATCATCAAGATTTTTTATTTTCAATAATACTTGGAGATAACAAAATATTATCGTAATCAAACAAATTGTGATAAGACAAAACATTATTAATGGTAGTGTTATACTTTTAGGATATGCTGCACACCTGTATATTTACATTTTGAATAAATGTTTTTGATTAAGAGAAATTCATGTGATCAAGATACAAAATAAAAAATTACCAACCAATATTTATGTTGTCCAAAATCATTAATTGAAATCAAATCAATTAAAGCTGATAAAGATAATGTAATAATCCAAAGTCTATAATCATAGATACCAGTTTCCAAATAAACTTCTTTACATACACGAAGCCACGTTGACGCCGCAACAAATGTGACCAAAAAAAAGTTTAGCGCAGATAAAGTTACGACATATGCACCCACTATACCACATTGAGGTTGTGGCCATGGAACTTTATAAATAACGGTATATGCCTAAATAATAGAAATAAATTAATTAAAATAAAAAGAATAAAAGCGAAATAATTTTTAAAATTTACCAGATTTATCGTGAATCCTATTGATAACATGGAATCTTTGAGCAAATATAATATAAATATAAATTAATTAAATTTATATATATTTTAATATGTATATACATTATTTATTTATAATTAATAATAATTAATACCAGTTAAAGCGATGTAAAAAGGAAATCGTAGAGATAACGTTATGTTAAGCGAACCACCTGTTTTCCATTGTCTGTAAGTTCCTATTTATAAATGGCGATCGATCGGTTGTTTGTTAGCCTATTCAAAGGATTATCTCATAACAATTCTTTATACACTTTAAACTTTAGCACTATACTTTAACACTACACATTAAACTTTAAACAATACATTTTAACTTTAAACACTACACTTTAACTTTAACACTTACGATATATCACATATAAACTACCCCAACAATTTAATTGACAAGCAAATATCCCGAATCCCATTATCACCCAAAAATCACGACATGCCGATTCACCATAATATCTTGGATCATCAAGGGATGCAATAACTATTGGATTTGTTGTTGTTGTGTTATTATTATTGTCATCAAGAATTTCATTAGTGTGATCAACAGGAATTATTATTGTCATCGTAGTAATTGTAGAATTTGTTGAAGTGCTATCATTATCCTCCGTAATTGTAGAATTACGATCTCCATATACATCACTTCTCATTATCATTATAACGAGGAGTAACATTATAATTATATTATTATTCAATAACATTTTTTTTACAATATAATGTATAAATTTTGTAGTTGCTGTATGTATATGTAGTAAAATACTTTTGAAATATTCTTTTTTTTTTTTTTGTATTTTAAATAAGAAAAAAAGGAAAACTAAAAAAAAAAAAGAAAGAAAGGGAAATTTTATGCGTTAAATCTAATTAAATTAACCAGAATCTTATATGTATATTACTACGTAAAATTTTCGATTATTTGATGGAAAGGTACATATATATGTTTTTTTTAAATACCATTATTACTATTTATTATTATGAATTAGGTGATCCGATCGAATCGTCATTTATTATGCCAAAAGCAACTTCGCCATCATTGATTCATAATAATAATAATAATAATAGAATGATGGTCGATAATATGAAAAACAAATAACAATAGATGATAGAAATATGTTCTTGTGTTCCAACAAAAAAAAAAAAAGAGTAAAAAATCAATTAAGTACATGTAAATTTATTAATTACGGAAGACATTTTTGCTAACGTGTTTTGGTGTAGGGGAAATACTACAATTTTTTTTTGTGCATTTATAACTATAGGACCCTAATCTCCTTGAACTTAATTGGTAATACTAAAAAAAAAACCCCTATTTATGCATCCATAGCATTCATAGCATTCATAGCATTCAAACATTCGAAACGAATGAGAATTACTTTTCATTTCGTGTTTTCTGATTTCCTTCATATATAATCAGATTACTTTAGCCATTATTTACGTTTATTACATTCTTTGAGGAAAGTTTAGAAACAAACATAACCCTTAATCTATCTCTATAAATATATATGTTTACTTTAACGCATGCAAGGCTTCAAAACAAAACCAAATTTTGTTTTATTTTTTTAAGTTAAGCGTCAAATGTTAATAATTATCTAGTTGATAGACAGTGAAGTAACATAAAATGTTATTAATGTTTTTCAATTTCCTTTTTGACTTTTATTGACACAAATTTATTAATTGTCTATGGTATTTTATTCAATGACAGTTTTGAAACGGGAAATAAAATATAGAATTTATGTGTACATGATTTAATGTTTGTTAGTGCAAGCGAAAAATGAGCACGTTCTGAGAAAAAAAATGATTCTTTTATAATTTATCTTCTGTTGTCAAATTTGATTAATTAATGAAAAAAGAGAGAAATACCAATACAAAATCTTCAATTTATATTTTATTTATTATATTATAATTAATTTTAATTACAACAAATAAAAATCTTCTTACTTCCCACTTAAAGTTAGAAAATAACCAAATTTCAAGAATAAGCCAAATCAATCACGAAAATAGGAAAGAACCAATTTATTGCTTGCTTTTTAGTAATCATTTTAAAATGATGATTTACCCCTACATTTTATTTAAATGAGTAATACAACAAAACAAGGTATTCTTTCATTTCATACAGATAATATTAAATAATAATTAATAATTTATTTCATTGGTCATTCATAAATGTCCCAGTAGGACTATTGTCAAAAAAGTTAGTTATTTTAACAAGTATGTGGAAATTTCAGTTACCAAAAAAATTAGATAATAGCAAAAGATATAAATATAGCACTTGTAAAAATTTGAATTTAAAAAATCGTATTTCAATTCAGGTATCACAATCATTTCTCACTTTCAGGGATCAGGGAACGGCGAGTCGGGTGGAGTGGTAGATTTTATGTTAGCCAATTTTTATTCTTTTTATATTTACAATGGAATTTTTTATGGTTATTATTTATGAGTCATTTAGAAAAAAAAGTCCAGTAGGGTTAGTAGGGTTCCGTAAAACGAATCTTAATTGATCCGCGAATAATACTATTGCGAATCGGATCGGAAAATCCAAAAAGGATAATTCCCTTGACCAGTGGTGACAATCGGATCGGATAATAGATAAAATCCGATCCGGTTCGATACTACTATGCAGAACCCTACTGGGAAGAGAACTTGTTTTCTTAATTAAACAATTTTAATTAATGGTTTGACCTTTGATTTATGATATTAGATTAATGAAATTTTTATCAGCAAGTTTTTTTAAAAAAAATTTTCATAAGATAAGCCAAACTTGGATAAACTTGAATTCTTTTGATGAGTAAATCTCATCAGAAATATAAACAAAAAATAAAGGTTTTACTAACTGTCGTGTCTTAATAAATTTATTATAATTATTATAATCACAGATTTCTTAGATTTAGAATATCGGTAGAATATCGAGAGATAAATAAAATTATTAAAGAACCCATTATTAGTGTTTATCAAATGTAAAAGAGAAAATAGAACAGATTGAGTTTGAGATAATACTTAAAATTTCTTGGAGAGTAAGAAATAAATTCTCACACTAGAAAATTATTATTTTTTTAAATAATAAAATGACATCACGAAATGTGAAAATTTATTTTTAAAGTTCATTCCTTAAAAATAATTTTTTTTAAGTTTTGTACAACAAACAATTTAAGAAAATATCACCATTTACTTATATTATATCCGTATATGTGTAAATTGAATCGCTCGTTTAATTTTAAATATTATGAGAATAATATGAATTGACAATGTTAATAATATGATAATATTAATAATATTAATAATATGATAATATGATAATGATATTAACAATATGGATAATATGATAATGTTTTATGAGGAAGGTTGAGAGAGAGAGAGAGAGAGAATTGAAGTTCATTGTTCGTGACTCGTAAGATAAGTAATATGAGAAGGGAGAAAATGCATTGCCTGCCTGCATGCTTACGTACTTTACTTGCTTGAGTGAGATTATATATATATATAATCTTGTTTGAGTAATTTATAATTATAATTATTATTATTATTATTATTATTATTATTATCTGAAACAATTTCAAAACTTGATTATTTTCCTTAACTGTTAAGCATTGTGTCTAATAATAATTATCTATTTTGACTTAAATGAGCGAATAATCTCTCTTCGTGTATAACAACGCACACGCACAAACCCCCCATAATGACATTCACACAAACAAACAAAAGGTTATTATGGATTAATTAAAAGTTGAAAGAATAAATTTAAAAATAAATATTGTCAAAATTGTTACGATTATTCATATATTTGAATGTTTTATATAAAGAACAACAAATTTGTTTCATCTTTTTTTTTCAAGTGCGAATTATTTCTTATTTCTTTTTTTTTTCCTTTTTATATTTATTTATATTTTTATTTTCTTTATTTTTTGAAAAATTATTCATAAACTTATCTAATAATAAAAATTTTGATAATTTTTATTATTTTCTCTAATTTTCTCTAATTTTCTATATATTATAATTTTTCTTTCTACCTATAAATATATCGATTTTGATAAAAAAAAAAGGAATTAATAATTTTAAGAAATAATCACCTTTGAAAATCAAATTAAACAATGTCTTTAATTCATAATAATAACAATTATTATTATAATGATGAAAAAAATAACAAGAATACTACTACTTTCGGAAAGGTAAATATAATGAAACATGTAATGAATAATATACTGCTTTATTGTATTAATTGTAATTATATTAATTGTATGTATTTTTAGATCAATAAATTTATAAAAAGGTCCGGCAACACTTTGACCGTCACCATTAATAAAGATGATAAAATAAATACAGGTCCGTCTAATAATAAAATTAAAAAACTTTAATTTTTAAACAATTTATAATTATCTAATTTTATCCTTTATAATAAAATATAAACCATATTTTAGGACGTAAAAATCGTCTTTCAAGATTTATTCTGACAAAATTTTCATGCACAAGATCTTCAAAACTTTCTCCAACTTTACCTATACAACCTTATATAATGGATGAACATGATTTTGACCATCGTCATCGTCGTCGTCGTCATCGTCATCAAGAAAGTCAAGAAATAGTAACAGGAGCAGAAATATCATCAACTATAATAACGGCAGCCCCAAATTCAAATCCAACACCAATACAAAGGCTATTACAACAAACGACACAGATCCCAATAACAATACAATCATCTTCATATTTTCCTGTAGTTTTTGATACAGTTGAATCTTTTGCCGCTTTTAATGTCTCTGAAAGATCAAGAAAACGTTGGGGTTACGTTAAACCTCCTAATGATTATAAATACAATTGTGACTGTTATAATCGCTGTTACAACAGCAACAGAAAAAATAACAAATTCAACTATAATTATAGAACTTATAACAATCAAAATGAATCATCTTTATCACTTTCATTAAAAAAACAAAAAAGATTTGGATTTATTGCTTCTAGAGTAGAAATACCAAATAATTTACCTCCTTTTGAATATTAAAAAAATATAAAATATATAGATATATATTATTTTGCAAATTTTTTGTAAATTAGTTTTTTTTTTTTTTTTTTTTTTTCCTCAAAAAAAAAAAATTTGTAAATTATTTAAAAGATTTTTAATAAATTAACAAAAGAAAAAATAATTATTATTATTAGCGTCAGAAAGAAATCGACGATTATAATAATTATTTTTTATAAACCCATTTTTCGTACACAGAAAAAAAGTAATTTTAATTTATTAATTATTAATTTTATTAATTTTATTAACTTTATTAATTTTATTAAACTTTATTAATTTTAATAACTTTATTAATTCCTATTTTATCTACATAAAACTATCTAATTACAGATTATAAAACAGAAATGACAACTTTAAGCATATTCGAACATCCAACATTTCTTGAAACGTGAAATGTAATTTTAGTCATATTTTCATTGCTAAATCTTTATCATGTGATATAGGGAATGTATCAAGGATATAAACCTGTAACTATTTCATAAGTTATAAATGAACATTAGCGGCTTTTGTATATTCTTCTCCACTTAATATAAATACGTATGGTGATAATACCTTGAAACAACGACACCACCAAAAATATTCTTCTTCAGGACTTAGGTTTGGGATTTATTTGATCCCTATTAATTTCTTACTGTAATTTTGTAATTCTGTAACTTATATTTCCATACTGAAAAATGAAAATTCCTGGTGAATATTAAAATACTAGCAAATTTATATTTTATTAATAAAAATAATAATTTTAATGACACATATAATTTTTTTTCGTTAGTTGCAAGTTTGCCTTAGAGGAAAGCCTTTTATTATAATATACTATCCATTTTACTTGCTCATTTAATTCTGTACTGTTATAAATAAAATTTGAAAATGAAAATTTTTCCGTCGCGTATTTGTTTTTGATACTTACTAACCATATTAAGATAATTATTGATGTTTATGTCACAAAAAAAAAGTTTTTTCGTTGTAAGAATAATGTAAAAGAGTTATTCTATGGTGTGTTGATATAATTAGGGAGAAAGTAATTGTTGCATACATTAATTATTTTATCTGCACAACTCGTAATATTAATTATATTAGTTGTTGAATTATTATTTCATTATTAAACCAGGTAAAAATTCAAAATTTTAGGGAGAGAACGACGTCTTACATTATAATTTTTAATTGTATAATAAAGAATACAAATACAAATACATAATCTTATTATGCATATTAACATATTATTGCCAACGAATTTAATAAAAACCATCATCCTTTATTTGCCAAATTTATTAAATACTAATTTATTATCTGTAAATACACATGTCAATAAATAAGTATAATAAGCATAATAAGCATCGTTTGGTAGTAAAATTTATAGTGGCAATTTAAATGTTAAATGTCAATCTGTAAACATTTACTATTTGTGAAACTTTAATTAATATTAATAAAAACAACTCTTTTTTATCCATTTTATTTATAAATTAAATACCTGACCTAATTAAGTTTTTATTTTTTATTCTTTTCTCCCTCCTTTCTCCCTCATTCTCACTTTACTCGACTCGTTCACTCATTCACTTCACCCTTTTCATTCACTCATTATTATTCCCCTATTCGTTTCATTCATTCTTTATCTACTCTCTAAACTTTCTTCACCATAATTTTCTTCATAACAGTTTCATTCTTAATTACGTCCACCTTCATAATAATTCGTCCATAATTTTCTCCTACATAATTTATCCATGTCAGATATTTAAAGACGTGGTTATTTTTATTTTATTCATATATAATTAATAAAATAAATATAAACATATATATACATATCTCCCTTCTCGGTGAACTCAAAAGAAAAGTAACAGAGACCACTTATAACAATTAAATCTTAAAGAAAGAAGATGTTAAAAATGTTTTCAACAATTAAAACTCAATTAGCTTTGAAAAAGTATCAAGCTGAAATGTCAACATCATCCACATATGAAGAACTTTGGGAAAAATCAATTCTTCACGGTTTAATAGGTTTAGGGTTATTGTTAATTGTTTATGTAGCTCTTGAACCTCAAATCGAAAGTGGTAGTGATTTATTAGCGGGAAAATTAATGGATTATAATCCAATTTATTATTAATAATATAACAGATATTATTATTTATTTGTTTTTCATCAAATTCATTATTAAACGAATAACACACAACACAATATAATATTTTTAATTATAATATTACCAAGAATATAGATTATTCTTAAATTTTTAAAAATAGAACACAAAAGTGAAGTGCATACCATAGAATTTGTCATTTCTTCTCCCCACATTTTTTTTTTCTTTACATTCTCACTTTTTTTTCATTATTTTTTCACACTTTTTTTTTTTGTCACATAAAGTATTTACTACCCCTTTGTCATATATTTCTTCTCCCACCTATAATCAATTTATAAAGTAAATTTTATTATCATTTAATTCTTTTTTTTAATTATAATACAAGTACATTTGTAAATTAATAATATTAATTATTTTTGTATTTAAAGTCCAATTAATTTTACGAAGTATAATCTATATTACGATTGCGCGAAAATTTTAGTGTTTTAAAACATCGTGAAAAGTAATTATTTTATTTTTTTTTAAAAAAACTCCAAAATTGTAAACAGAAATGGATATTATCTTTAAAGAATAAAGTTAACAATATGATCAGTTCAAGTTTTTTTAAAAATGATCCCAAATTATTATAAAATGGCAATTTAAAACATTATTATCTTTTATTATAAGAATATGAACAAACAAAAGAAATAGAATATCTCTTTCATTTCAGAGATTTCTCATATTTCTCGCATTGTGAAAATAATTTCTTGCTTCTTAGTTGTAGGAGAGAAATTTATCTTATTAAATAATAAATTAATCATTTTATTATTATTTTATTTCGGCCGGTATTCACAGTTATTATAAATTTTAAAAATCGAATTTATTAATTCTGCACAAGTTTTCTGATCTTCAACAATCCTACATTTGTTATTGATTTCTATCGAAATTTTTATACACAGCAATTTTTTATGCAAAAAAATGGTTATGGGCAAAACTTGATTTTAAAATTAACTGGCACTGAGCAACGATGGGCCGTGCCGTAAATTGCAATTAATTTTAGCAAACTCCCTCATGTACTTGTTGTTTCATAAATTTTGTATTTATTTTACAATAAAATAAACATTTTGGAGTAAGGTTCCGTCGGTTAAAAAAAAAAATTGATTTCTATCGAAATTATTTTGTACTTTAGTAAATTTTTATAAATATATAAAAAAAATAATACATTTTCTTATGAACTTTTTCTTAAATGCATTATAATTGACTTTTTTCATTTCGTAGGAAATTTTTGCCGCGTGCTCTTTAGAAATGATTTGATTCCTTTGCATCTTTGCATGAGAAGAGAATGATATTTTTGATCTCATTTTTCCAGAAATTAAAAGTCAAAAAAAATTTTATAAAGAAATTAATATTATCATTAAAAGCAATTTAAATATATGTTTTTAATTATTTAATAGATTAATAAGTATGAATGTATAAATACAACTTCAATGTAAAAAAAATATTAATAATAAAGGATGAAATAATTCTTAAAAAAAATTTTCCTAAGTAGTCTTTCTATTGACTTTGAAAACTTCATAATCAATTAATAATTGAAAATTTTCCATCTTCTCTAATACGGACATTATAACAATTCCAATAACGATACTCAGATTGAGTTCCAACTGTAAAATTAGATACATATAAAGCACATTTCCAAAATTAAGACCATTTTTGTTTTGACTCTTTTCCATGATAATAAAGTGCATGTCTGGGATTTTTTACTCTACTAAGAATTGAATTTAGAACATTATCATTTTTAATGAGAAAATGAAACTATCATTTGTTTCCCTAAACCAACCACCATTAGCATTATTATCCAACATTAAAGGATCATAACCACTGATATGACCATGGCGCATATCCCAAAATGTTTGAGGAGCAAATCCGTCCCTGCTTCCTAGCAAAATTAATTCAAATTCATAAGGGATATTTGTTAAAATATATGAAGTTGTTTTACGGTCAATCCATGTAGAAATTTTTTCAGCGTGTTCTTTAGAAATGATATTTGAAAATGGAAGTGATCTTGCTGATAAATTAACTGATTTTACTGGTCGATCAGGATCTACCATATTCTGAATTAATATCTTCCCAAAGTTGTTTATCAAGGATTTTTTTATAAAGCCTAATTTTATAATAAATTTCAATATTTGAAATATGAAAGTAACAAATAAGTGGTAGACATTGTTGTAAAGTAGTTTTCAATGTAAGAAAATTTTCCTTGGTCCATTCTTTAAGGTTATTAGGAAGGGTAGAATTCTGAGAAATTCCCACTTGATAACATAATCCCAAATTTTAATTTCTTCTATTTGTAAATCATCTCGCTTGAGAAGAGATACCAAGGCAGATTCTTGAAAAGAAGTGAAATCTGAATTATCAAAAATAATATTTGGATGCTTTGTAACAATTTCATTGCAAAAATTTTCCAAATCTTTAAAATTGTTATTAATAAAGATTGAATGATAAATAAGATAAAAATGTGTTTTTAACCAAAAAGCTTTATCCTTGAAGAGAATTTCTTGGATAATTCTTCAAGCTCAAATTCATTAGTCACTAACATCAAGTCAAAAATAATTCTTGTTTCAACATTTTTCAAGTTAACAATACCACCATAAATATATGCATGTACATGAAAAAAAAAATAAAATTATAAAATACGTATTAATTATTACATTATTACTTTATGTAAATCATTATATACTGTGACGTGTTGTGTGTGTATTAATCAAGTGCGTGAAGATAGAAATATTGCGGAATATAAGTATTGATATAGTTATAGTTTTATTATTTTCTAATATAGGAAATTCTGTTTTGTCATACTAACAATCGCATAAATTAATTGTTGAACGCTTGATAAATTATCTCAAAACTTTATTGAAATTCTTAATGATAAAGATGATTACAATGTAATCATTGAAGTCGAAAATAAGGAAAAAATTTTACGGCACATTCTAATATATTGAAATATCGATCGTCTTATTTCCAAAAAGAATTAGAAAATGTTCACCCAAATGAAAATAATATTAAGATAATTATCAAACCAAGCATTTCTGCTCAAATTTTTGATCTCATCCTTAAGTAAGTTACAGTATATAATGATTTACATAAAGTAATAATGTAATAATTAATATTTTATAATTTTATTTTTTTTTTCATGTACATGCATATATTTATGGTGGTATTGTTAAATTGAAAAATGTTGAAACAAGAATTATTTTTGACTTGATGTTAGTGACTAATGAATTTGAGCTTGAAGAATTATCCAAGAAATTAGTAACTATTCTCTTCAAGGATAAAGCTTTTTGGTTAAAAACACATTTTTATCTTATTTATCATTCAATCTTTATTAATAACAATTTTAAAGATTTGGAAAATTTTTGCAATGAAATTGTTACAAAGCATCCAAATATTCTTTTTGATAATTCAGATTTCACTTCTTTTCAAGAATCTGCCTTGGTATCTCGAGATGATTTACAAATGGAAGAAATTAAAATTTGGGATTATGTTATCAAGTGGGGAATTTCTCAGAATCCTACCCTTCCTACTAACCTTAAAGAATGGACCAAGGAAAATTTTCTTACGTTAAAAACTACTTTACAACAATGTCTACCATTTATTCGTTACTTCATATTTCAAATATTGAAATTTAGGCATTATAAAAAATCCTTTTATAGTTCGTGCAAATGAATCCAAAATACCATTTTCAACTATCATTTCCAAAGAACATGCCGCGGAAATTTCTACATGGATTGACCGTAAAACAACTTCATATACTTTAACAAATATCCCTTATGAATTTGAATTAATTTTAAGAGGAAGCAGAGATGGATTTACTCCTCAAGCATTTTGGGATATGTGCCATGGTCATGCTAGTACAATGGTTATTATGAAAGTTAAAGGAACCAATGAATTCTGGGTGGTTTAGGAAAACTAATAAAGTTTCACTTTCTCATTAAAAAATGATAACATTCTAAATTCAATTCTTAGTAGAGTAAAAATTCCCACACTTGCACTTTATTATATGGAAAAGAGTGACAAAACAAAAATGGTCTTAATTTTGGAAATGTGCTTTATATGTAATAGTGCTGCTGTATCTGATTTTACAGTTGATACTAAATCTGGGTATTATTATTTGGATGATTACTATTATGACCGTATTAAAGAAAATGGAAAAATTTCAATTATTGATTATGAAGTCTTCAAAGTCAATAGAAATACTACTTGGGGAATTTTTTTTTAAGAATTATTTCATCCTTTATTATTTATATATATATATATATTTACATTGAAGTAGTATTTATACATTCATACTTATTAATCTATTAAATAATTAAAAACATATATTTAAATCACTTTGGTTCTTTGTTAATAATTATATTTTAAAATGTTTAATGATAATATTAATTTCATTATAAAAATTTTTTTTAACTTTTAATATGAAATATATCATTATTGATTACAGCATTATCTCCTCATGCTCATCTCTAAGAAGTACGCAGCAAAAATTTCCACATGGATTGATTTATGTAATGAAAAAAGGCAATTTAAAAAAAAAGTTCATAAGAAAATGTATTATTGTTTCTATATGTTATCATTATATATTTATAAAAGTAGCATTATAATGTAGGATTGAGATCAGAAAACTTGTGTAAAATTAATAAATATTGAAATCCTTAGTTCTAAAAATTTATTCTTCTTATCATATTTTTAAAAATAAATGAAAATACTGAAATAAAAAGATAAGATTAATTAATTCAGCTAATAAACTAAGAGATGTAAGAAACTATTTCCACAACACAAATACTGGGAAATGAAAATATGGAGAGAGGTAATTCCATATTCTTTTGTTGATATTATATTTTTAAATAATAAATGATATAAACATAATAATTTGAGATTATACTTGCAATTCAATTTGTTGGTTACATATTATTATAAATAGTAAATAAAATTTACAACTTTGCTTTATTAATTTTATTAATACTAGAATTATTATTATGCTCTGAATTATCGATCTCTTTCAAATAATCTCCACTTATAATATCTTTCAATACCTCATTATAACCAACATATATTCCTTTCTCATGTTTCAAATTTAATGGATCCATCTTTACTCGTTTATACATTTCTTCATATACATTTCCATCATATCTTCCTAACGCACTATTTAACATATTATCACTAAATTCCCATGCATCAACTAATCCTATAGCATCAACTCTTATCTTTTTCAATAATTCTTTTTGTAAATTTTTTAAGAGATTAATATGATATGAATTATAATAACCTGTAATCAAAAATTCCCCAAATTGAGATAAAACAACATTAATAAAAAATAAATCAATTAAACTTCTTAAAGAAGGATATAATAATGGATGTTCTTTTTTAACAGATTGTAAACCTTGATGAGCATTAAATAACAGAATGAAATAACAATAAGCACGGGAAACATTGATTATATCAATCATATGTTCAGATTTGGCTTCTGCTTCTTTTAGAGTATTATTATTGTTATTAGGATGAATTCGAGATGATTTTTCCAAGGAGGAAGATAAATTTGATAAAAGAGATATATATCGATGCTTTAAAGCTTCAATTTGTGATTCAGGATGTAAAATATGTTCTTCTTTAACATTTGCGGGGAATTTCTTATATAAAATTTTATCAAAATCCATCAAATAACTCAATTGAATACCACCAGTAAATTTCCCTTGTTGAACTAATTGAAAAGATTTTAGGAGATAACGTCCAGTTTGTAAATACAAGACAATATTTTCACCTAATAATAAGAAATTAATAATATTATTTTTAATTATTGAAAAGAATTATTATAAAGAATTATTTGAGGAATTACAAATCTTCTACTTACCTTCTGATGTTATATACTGAAAGTAAAAAGTTGAATACTGAGGTATTCTGCAAAATAGTAACATTTATTTTAATAAAATAATTTTATAGACAAATAAATTTAATAATAAAAATCAGATTAAGAGTTATAAAATATTCTTTTAATCTACATACCCACTTAAATATGAGTATCCATTTCCTTTAATTTTTTTCGATTTTTCAATTTTTGAAAAATGAAATAATATAGTTTTTAACAAAATATATATATATACATTTTTTTTTTAATTTAATATGAATTATTATTATTATTTGTATCTTACCACCACAACAACGTCTAGCATCTTCCATTGATTCGCATACCAATTCAGTACAAAGAGCTTTTAATCCCTATATATATATATAAATAAAAATAAATCATGTTTCTAGAAATAAAATGTTTAGAATCTATAAATTATAAATATTTGAAAAAAAAAATAATAATTACCGAAGAAATAGCATGTAATTCGGACAATAGACTAACATCCCCTTTTTCCATTTTAGTAATATTTTCAATATACAAATTATTTATAAATCTACTGGTAAATAAAAAAGTATATGATCTTGATAATCCATTAAATAATTTATATTGTTGAGATTGATAATCAATTATTTGGAATTCATCTTGACTTGAAAATTTATTTCCTTGTTTACGAATAATTGAATATCTTATAGCTATTGTTAATATGGCAGTCAGATAATAAGCAGCCTTTGAAATAATATCAGCACGACCATCTATTAATGTACCATATACCATTTTCGCATGAGGTGGTGTAGAATAAATTCCAGAAGGTGAAACTTTGGAAAATTTCATTAACATGTTTGTACGTGGAATTCGAACTTTGGTAAAGCGAAGAAAACCTAAAATATTTAAAATATTTAAATATAATTAACATATTTAAAGCATTAAAAGTATTTTTTTATAATTAAAGTATTTTTATTAACTCAATTTCTACTCACCATTATCAATATTATTATACCCTAACTTCGGTCCAATATCACCAATTTCAATTCCTGGTAATGGTTTATGCCCTTCACCACGTAATTGCACTAAGAAAGAATGAATTCCATAATCTTTTTTATCAATAATAAGTCGGGCCATAACAACTGCGTAATTACTATAAATAATAATAATAAGTAATAATAAATTAATAATAAATAATATTATAATTATAATTATTTTAATTATTTTAATTATTTTCAAAACTGAAATTCAGCTAAAGAAAGCACGATAATATATTTTATACCTCGTCCTTGCAAGAGAACCAGGCCACCTAAATTATTTAATAATATTATAATCTTTATCATTATTATATTATAATTTTTTTTTCAATAAACATTTAAATAAATGAATGAATATAAAAATATTTGTCACCATTTCATTGATGTTAAAGTTGGAGAATGCAATTCAAATTCGTCCTAAAATATAATAAGTTATAAATTTATTATAATACAACACGCAAATACACTTTACAAAACTTAAAAACACTTTATAACTTACAGATTCGCGAATATATGTGGAAGTAGTTTCTAATTTTTTAATATTAGATCCGTGACCCAATTCTGTTTGAACATAACTAAATAAAAAAAATAATAAAATAATAATAAAATAATAATAAAATAATAATAAATTATATAAAATTTATATAAAAATTACAAATAATAACAAATAGAATAAATATATTTCTAGAATATTTACAGACCAACCTATTATCTCATAATTTTCTGCCAAAGGAAGCCATTTATCAAGTTGTTCTTTAGACATTTGTCCTTCAAGAGTTACCATGAATAATACATCATGCTATAATAGATAATATATTTATAAATTTAAAATAATATAAAATAAAAATAAATAAAAAATAAAATAATATAATATAAATCATAAATTACCAATAAAATGGGAAGATGTTCACCCTGTAATAAAAGTAATATCGACCAATCCTCAAATGATAAATTATGTTGTTTTTTAATTTGCAATAATCTCTTTATCATTTGCAAATTTCTCAAATAACGTTCTTCTCTATTAAGGAAAGCCGTGTCACTAGTATCTAATATAGGTTCTTTTTCAGGTTCAATAAGGGAACGAAGCCATCGATGCCGAGCTTTAAATAATATTTAATAATAATTTTTTGATAACTTTATAACTTTAATAATAATAATAATAATAATAATTAAAATTTTTTATAAACGATTATTACATGCTATTTACCTGTATTTTTGGTACCATCATATAAAAAATTGGTTAATTCTTCAATAGGAAAAGAAACTGCATTTCTCGCAGCAGTCAAATATTCGTTAACTTTCATGTATTAATTTTTTTTTTTGATTGATTATAATAGTGGATTACTATATATATACAATCTGAAATTGAGATTTTTCACGTGATCAAAATGCATGAGATTGTAATAAATTATACGTTCAACTTTGATGAATTTTATTTTTTTTATTTATCTAATAATTTTCTGTAAACATATTCTAAATGTTATACTCAGTTTGAAGGGATATAAAGTATATGTAAAACTTTTAGATATGTGTGTTCTGGAGGAGAAAAGAACCTGAGCAATTTAGAAAAAGTTATACTTGGTTGTCTGGTTCTCAAACCTATGACCGAAGTCATAATCATCCCAGTAGAACAAATAAATACATATATTATTGGATCAAATTTGTGATTATACAAGTTTTGAAAATTGTTATAACTAGCTCAATGTTTATTTATAATAATAAAAATTTACATTAATATAATTGAACTAAAATAAAAAGCTTACATCTTTATCTACTAACGTTAACATATTTTTTATATCTTTCCCATAATTCTAAATTAGGTTTTCTAAATTCTTGTAAAACTTTTTCCCAATCATTTCCTTGTAAATGATTAATACCATAAAGTTCTTTAGCCGTATATTCTAATTCCCATCGAATTTTTCCAATATTATTTGCTTCAGTGAGATTGGTAAAATATTGATAGTAATTAAGTAATGTTCCAAAATTATCATCTTTAGTAGAATAAACGTATTCACGAATTGCAGGATTGTTGACTATAATATATATTTTAAAATAAATAATTAATTAATTAATATAATATTTTAATTTATTATTTTTCGAAATATTAAAAATATCTTGCCTGGAATAATCGACGGTGCATTATTAAGTACCAAAACAACCTCGTTTGATTTATATTTTGAATGGCTTTTATCTTTTTCTTTTTTTTCATACTTTTCTTCGTCTGTAACAAGGATTAAATTATATTTCTTTTTAAGACTTTCATCAAAAGTTACAAATGTCAAAGTATCTAGATTAGTATGTCCTATCAATAACAATAAAAGATAAGTTAATAATTTTTCCCAAAGCACCTTATTATACGTAAAAAAAAAAAAAAAATTTTTTTGAAATATTTAATTTACCTGTGAAATGTCCATATATAACATCAGAATAATCACCAAGCAATAGAATGTATTTTTCATAACATTTCTTATAATAAGCAGGATTTCCTATATGAAAAAAAAAAGAATTATCGAATGAATGAAATTTTTATTAAAAAATTATAATATTTTCAATTTACCTTTATCATCCAAAGGAGGAACATGATGTGAAATATAAATCTTCCTATTTTCTTCTCTTGCATTAATTAATTCTCTTTTAATCCATTTTAATTGTTTTGAACCAGGTGAATTCTTTTTTTTGCAGTCAGGAACTAAAAGATTTTCATTATAGAAATACATTGAATTTAAACTTAAAACACTTAATCTGGAATTTATATCTTGTCTAAAATATCCTCCAATATTAAATTTATGTGTTAAATTTAAATGTAAAGGGGCCCAAATTTGTGTGAGATTTGAAAATAAAGTGTTTGGTCCTTCTTCAAGTAAATTATGTTCTAAAATTCAAAATATGTAGAAATTAAAAATTTATTAAAAATATAAGAGAAGAGAGAAGAGAGAAGATAGAAGATAGAAAAGACAGAAATTAACTTTACCCCATAAATCATTATTTCCTAAAGTTGGAATCTATATAATATAAGCATTCAATTATATTCGTTATATTCGTTATATTCGTTATATTCAGATATACATTTATTCATAATTATATTTAATTAATAATTACTCACGATTTTAACTTTCTTTGGATCAAAATATTTTGTAAACCATTCAATTAAATTTTGATGACAATATAAAATATCTTCTTCAACTACAGGATCCTTGAGATCACGATCATGTCTACATGAATCACCGGTATATATGATAAAATCAACTTGGGAAAAATTCTTTTTCAAAAATTCGAATGTTGAATTGGTTAATATGTAAGGTGAATCACAATCGGTTTGAATCGAACCGAATCTACCGGCTGTATTATGTTTATGTTTATGTGATTTACGATGACAAAGTTTTGATGGACTACTTGGATAAGTGTAATCGGGATCAAAATGGATATCTTTACATTAAAATAAACAAATAAACATTTGCAATAAGAAAGTAAAAAAAAAAAATCGAATTTATATTATTTATAAAATATAATAATAATAAATAATACCAGTTATATGTAAAAACCTTCCCGAATAATTCTGCAACGTAAAGAGAGGGTATTGGTATGCTGATATGCAAAAATTCATAAATATCATTTGGCCTCCCAAAATTATCGTTAACGTACTAAATATTGAATTTATTAGCATTTTATTTAATTTATTCAAGTAAAAAAAAAATAAAAATAAAAAAAAAAAAAAGGAAATCAAGAAATAACTTTTTTCACAAAAAATTTAGAAATAAATAAATATATATTTAAATTTTCACTATGATATCGTTGAATGATTTCAATTATATGAATGGAATACCGTCGTAAATGAATCGTCATAATAAATGATGTAACCGAGAAAACAGGTAACCTTTCCTATTTTGGCTAATTAATGTACGCTGCAGAAAGAAAAAGTCGAAATTTTTTTAGTACCAATGTAACTATTTTTTCGCTTATTGCAAATTATATAAATTATAGTAGATTGTAGAGCGTTCATATAAATTACAAAAATTATCTAATGTTGGTTAACGGCATTATTTTGTTTAAGGCGAAGATCATGATCGTATGTATGTAAGATCAACAACTACAATTAATGATACAGTATCAAGGTAAACAAGAAGATGGATCACCAATAGAAGGAAAATAATTCAATTATAAAATAATGAGTTCGGTGGCGTTTCAAGTTATCGATTTTAGTATCTCCGAGAGCGCCCGTTACACACCATTGTAGACAGAAATTTGTGACTATTTAAGTATAAATACTAGATAAAAAAAAATTTGACATAAAATAAAATAGTTTCTGAAAATTAAATTTTAGTGAATCTTCCGAATTGGAACAAAAATAGTTAAGAGGAATAACTTACCTTAATTGAAGCATTTAATGGGATCGTTAGATATATATTTATCAAAATAAAAAATTATAAATATGATAGGTGCTTCAAAAAATGGAAATAAAGGTGGCACTTAAAATCTACATAATTATAAAATGACGTAAAGAGCCAATCATTTATTATTACTCTATTTAAAAATTTCATTAATTATAATATCATTAAATAGGTAATATTTCATGGAATGGTAAGTTTTAATGATTTTATTTTATGATGTTATGTAATAACTAAAGATCTTAACACTGATAATAATTTATGTTAATGGAATTTTTTCAGAAGATAGAAATTTGCATATTGACTTAATGAGAAAATTGGTTTAATTGTATTGCAACAGGGTATTTAATTCGATTTATTGAGTTGATAGATTAGTATTCATATTTCAACAAATTATTTATACGGAGTAATGTCTTATTCACATATTCATTGCATGTTTTTACTTTTTTAAATCACTTATTATATTGTTTTATCTATTATTTTATTTATCTTTTATTAAAATTTATCATTTTCAAATGCAAATAATGGTAATTGAATTAGATATCAGATAGGATTCTCATCTTGGAAATATTTTTTTCAAATGATTTTACAAGTATTTAGATTTGGATTAAGTATATTCATAGAACAAAAATCAAACTAATTCTGAAAAAAAGATTGTGTGGATGAAAATATATGAAAAGCTGATGTTTATTCATTTGGAATTATAATCTATGAAACAATTACAAGTATTTCACCATATCCCATACGTAATATAATTTGTGCAAGGAATTATGATCAAAAATTATTCCAAAATTAATTGCAAGAATAATTATATAACGTTTTTGTTTTCTTTGGAAATAATTATATACATATGAATTTGAATTAGCAAAAATTTGAAATACATTTTAATCTATTTCTGTTCATGATTTTAATGGAGTTTTGTCAAAGTCTTCAGATACTTATTTATGGAATTTCATGTGAAAAGTTACAACTGATAGAGACTTAAAAAATGGTTTTTATATATAACATTGATATTGAAAAGAAAATTGACTAAATTTGAAAGAAATAAAAAAACTGGAATTATCAGAAACTTTAATATTAATTTTGCTTTTGCAAAAAATAAAATAATAATATTAATTTATTAGCAATATTAAATTTAATCTATATTCTAATTTTTAATAAACAAATATATCATTTAAAATGTTTTTAATCTCTTGGTGATGCCATTTTGATACTCCCACTGCAGGTGCAGCACTTGGTGGTCTTCCCACATATTTCAACTGAAAGATAAATTCAAAAATTATTATAAAAAGAACAAAAATAAAATCATAAATAATAAATCCAGTTCACATACCTTTTTTCCAGGAGATAACAGTTGATTCAATCTAGGTTCCATGAATGTATATGCACCATTATTTTGTGGCTCCTCTTGACACCAAATAAATTCTGTACAATTAAAAAAAAAAATAACAAAAATTAAACAGGAATAAGATTTTGTAAATTTAGGATTTAATCATACCATTAACATTATTATATTTCTTCAACTCTATCTCAATATCTTGTTTAGGGAATGGACATAGTTCCTATATCACAAAAAAAAATACAAAAATTAAATATTATAAAAAAATTAAAATCATTTATATTCAAATTAACAGGTATTTACCTCAACTCTAATAATAGCAAATTTGTCATTTATATTTTTATCTTGTTTTGCTTTTACAAGGTCATAATAAATTTTTCCTGAAACAAATATTACTTTCTCAACTCTTATTGGAAGTAACAAAAAAAAATAAAATATAATTAAGTAATTAATTAGAGTTGAATATCAGTATAATAATAAATATCCTACTTGAGATAATCAGATATAGAAAAATCCCCTAATACAGGTAAAAATGTTGTCCTGGGTGTCATTTCTTCAAAATTTGATACTGCAACCTAAAATAATTATGAAGTTCATAGTAAACGAGACAATAAAAAAATTAACAAAAAAAAAAATTCAAATAACTCACAGAAGATCTCAATAATATTTTTGGTGCAACAACTATTAAAGGTTTTCTGAAATTTCTTTTCATCTATAAATAAGAAACCCCTCAAAAAATGAATTAGAAATGAAAATGATTTAATAATATAAATATCATAATGAATTTCTTTTTAATATAATACCTGTCTTCTCAAAACATGAAAATACTGTGCTGGTGTAGTTGGATTAACTATATGCATGTTTGGATTTATTGGTATGCTTTCATCCAAAACATCAAATCTGTCATTTGTGAGCTAATAATAAAAAGATAGTAAAAAGATAATAAAAATATGGATCATAATGTAATATTGTATGTTAATTTAAATTTTCTGTCATAAACTTGCCTGTAAAAACCTTTCAATCCTACAACTTGAATGTTCAGGACCTGCACCATCATAGCCATGAGGTAATAACATAACTAATCCAGACTGTCTTAGCCATTTTACTATTGTATGAAATAAAATAAAATAAATAATCTAAAAAACATAAAATAGATAAAAATAATAAATAATGATTATTAATAATATAAAATAATAAAAAATTTACCTTCACCACTAGAAATATAAGTATCAATCACCACTTGGGCTCCATTAAAAAAATCTCCAAATTGTGCTTCCCATATATTTAAAATGTTTGGTGATTCACAAGACATTCCATATTCAAATCCCAACACTGCAAATTCACTGAGATTACTATTTGTAACCTAAAAATTTTATGACTCTTTATCAATCCAATTTACAGTATTTCAATAATTCACTAACAAAATTTTTTATTACTTCAAGCATTCCTTGATCTTTCGCCAATCCATTCAATGGAACCACAATCCGTTCTGATTCCTGACAAACAAACATTGCGTGACGTTGACTAAATGTACCGCGCCCAACGTCTTGACCACATAGGCGTACATTGTAACCTTCAAGTAATAAAGATCCAAGTGCAAGTGCCTATTATTATTATTATTTGTTTAAAAGAATAGTCGAAAATTATGTGACAAATAATTTACAAAATACAATCAGGAAGTACTTCAGCAGTAGCCCAATCAATATTCTTTCCTTCCTTTATTTTCTGAAGACGCGTTTGTATGTGAAATTTTTGAAGACGTGGATGAATCATCTTTATTGAATTTCCAAAAAAAAAAAAAAAGATTTTATTTATTAAATTCCATTTTACTTATGATTCAATGAATTTATAAAAAAAAATAATATATACAAAATCTTTAGGTGTTTCGATAGAAGCCATTCCGACTTTATGCAATGTTTCTTGTGGAATACCTTTTTGCAAGAAAAAAAAAAAGAAATTGACGATTTAATTCATATTTTAAATTCATAATTAAAAATATAAAAAAATATATAACACCTGTATCCTTTTTCGATACAGTTTCTTTAGGCATGACTAATCCAATCCATTTCTTTCGTAAGCTATCCATCTATATGAGATATGTTTAAATAAATATATAAATAATAATAAAAAAATAAAAAATTTAAAATCTTACTTCAGACTTATAATTATCCGATTGTTTATAATGTTCATCCAATACGTTAAAATATTTTTCTCGAAAATCAACAATATCTTTTTTTGTCAAAATTAAATCTTCTATCTAAATTTTATTTAAAAAAAAATAAAAAAAAAAATTTGAGAACATAGAAGATATAAACAAAGGGAAAATATCATGATTCAACAATACACACCAATTTTTCTTCATACAACTTGGAAACACTTTTTCTTGATCTTATGTTTTTATACATTAATGGTTGTGTGTATGCTGGTTCATCTAACTCGTTATGACCCCATCGACGATATGTAATTAGATCTATTATAATATCCTATTTAATATAAATAATATTTATAATATTAATCATTTCACGTATCCATATTCAGTATATTTAATAAAGTTTACGTTACCTTTCGAAACTTATTTCTATATTCGAATGCAACTTCAATCGCACGAGTTACTTCCTAATAATTATAAGAAAAATTATGAGATCTAATAAACCAAGAAAATTCATATTTTATCTGTATTAAATTACCTCTGGAAAATCTCCATTAACATGAATAACTGAAGCATTAATCATTTTTCCAATATCTGAACAATACCAACTACTCCTTGCATTTTGCGCAGGTGTAGTATATCCTAATTGATTATTGACTACAATATGTATCGATCCACCAGATGAAAAGTGTGGAAGATTAGATAAACCAAAACTTTCCATTACGACTCCTTGACCCGTAAATGCCTAAAATAAAATATAAAAAAAAGTAACAATAATAAAATAATGAAATCATGAAATTATAAATTAAAGATGAAGAAGATGCTAACTAACCGCATCACCATGTAATTGAACACACATAACACGATCACCAAGTTCACAATCTTTTTCCGATTTTATAAGATCCATTTGTTTCGCTCGGGCTTTTCCCATTGCTACAGGATTTACAGCCTATAAATATTAGTGTATATTAGTTAATATTCGGATATTTTGATATTAAATTTTAGAATACTATAATAACCTCAAGATGTGAAGGATTATGAAGCATTGATATATTCAATGGTTTGGGCATTCCATAATCTAATGTTGGTGAAAATGCTAACGAAAATATATATATATATATATATATATATATATATATTAAAAAATAAAATTTTCAAGATACTTAAAATAACCATTATTTAAAAAATATACCAAGATGTGATAGAACATCTCCAGTAGCAGGCAATTCTTCTGGAAATTCTGGATTTCCTTTGATTTTATGAAATAATCTCGTTGGAGGGAATTTTAATAAATCTACCAACAGATTTAGACGACCTCTGTGGGGCATGCATAATACTACGTCAATTATCCCAGCTAATTCAAAAGAATATATATAAATAAAATTATAATATTATGAAATTATAAGAATGAATAATATGAAATATTACCTTTATTCGTAATTTCAAACAATTTATCCAAGGCAATCATCATAGATTCTGCACCTTCCAATCCATAACGTTTAACTTGAGGAAATCTCTTCGCCATAAAATGATCGAAAACCTGAACAAAAAAAAAATTTTTTTTTTTTTTTTCAAAAAAATAATTACCACAGAATTATTAGAATTATTTTTAGAAATTTTAATATACCTCGGATTTTGCTAAAACTTCAAATATCCTTATTTTCTCTTTCGATGTTAACGATATCGATTCAAAAGATTCTATAATACGATAGAACCAACGTCTTTCACTTGCATTCTTTTAAACAAAGAAAATATGTGCAAACGAGCAAAAAATTATAGATATACATTTATTTTTGTTAATGATATTGAATTGAGGTTGTAGGATTGAAAGATGGAAAAAGGAAATTATACCGGAATATGCATAAACTCATAAGCAACTTTTCCACAATAAACTTTTAACAAATGGGATAAAATTGAATCTAATGTTGCTTTATCTTTTGAATTCACGAAGAGGATTCCTTGGATACAAAAAATTTATATAATCACAGGGTTATTATATAAAGTCAATAATTATTAAAGACATTAATGATATTAAAAAAAATTTAAATATATTAAAGATATTAACCCTTTAAATTATATAATTTATTTGGGTCAGTTGTAAAAATATATCTTAAATGATCTAATGCTTTAATTTCTCTATTTATTGTTATAAAATTATAAATTTAAAGTTTGCAACGAAAAAAAAAAATTTGCAAAAAAAAAAAAATAATAACTATTGAAATAATCTACTCTCGCTTCATAATCCCCAAGGGATCAAGATCCGCAGCTCTATGACCGAAAGTTCTATAAGCAGTAATTAATCGAAGTAAACCTGCATTTTCTATTCTATTTGACAATTCTTCTGTAGTGTCTAATATATATGGTAAATTTATTAATTCAAGATTGAATTCATTTCATGTTTGTGGAAAATTCAAGGATTGAAAAATTCATTTACAATCAGGCATCCTGAATTCTCGTGAAACTCTATATCCAAAAGCTCCATCATCATGATAATTTCTTTGAATTCTATTAGTTATTCTTCCTTTGTTGTTTAAAGACTTAGATGATACTTGTAATGTATATTTTCGTAAGCTTAAATAATATTTTTGATTTATTAATTTATTCCGATTATTGGCTAATATTTTAAAATATCGAGTAACAAGAGAGATATTGCTAACATAGATATTTAACATCGTTATATTTATTTATTATGAACATGAAAATTTTTATATTATTAATCTTAGAGTTTCGAAATTTGTTACTTGGTCTTTAAATATAAAAAAAAAATAAAGTTACGCAGGAATAAATTATAGTTTCCCACGACCAGTGTTGTACGAAAACCTCCCCCCGACTTAATATATGTATTTCCATAATTAGAAATACTTTTGAGCAACATGTCTTCTGACCCAGCATAAGTTATTGGTTAAAGATCATATGATCAAGCTTGCGAATATCGACTTTCGTTAAATGTTAAGAAATTAATAATAAATATTTATTTGCTCTTTTTATTATTACTAAACCTTTAAATTGTATCATAATCAACACTTAATTTCCTATTTACCTTTTATAGTTTCATTAATTCGGTCTGTAGCAGCTAGATGGAAATACTATTTTTCGAACAAACATTTGGAAATATAAAGAATTCAAAAAGTTTTAACAAATTGGATATATGAATTTTTTGATCAAATGATATTAAATGATTAAATAAATATTTAATAAAGTAATTATTTAATATTTATATTTTTAGTATTTTGATTCTGAAAACTTTAAAATTGGATCAACATTTAATCATAAATTGTCAGACGTAAAATAATATTTAGTGCATGAATAACAATGCAATGGTGAAAGGTTCAAAATTTTTTAGCTTATTATTATATCACGTGGAATAACAATGACTAAATTCTTTGTTCCATAGTTACAAATTCGGATCATTTTTATATCTATTTTAAACAATAAAACGAAAACCAAAATTAAGAAACTGAGTAACCAGAATAGTAAAAATAAGGGTCTTTAACAATTTTTCCGCACTTGTACATTCATTCAATTTGTTCCAAGTGAACACATTTTTGAACATATTAAAAAAAATTAATTTGGATATTATGAATGGCTAATTTAAGGCCAGATTAGTCTTAACAAATCGTAAAAATTTTTTGCAAACTTTCCAAATAATGTTTTCTTTACACCCTATCCCTTTTGCTGCAAACTAATCTTTTGAAATTACTTCAGCCACACTTTTTCCTTAATAAGTTCGAGAAATGAACACTCAAATATAATTCATTACCTGATAAAATTAAATTAATAAATTTTGATGTTAGCTTAAATTTTGGTAAAATCTCGGTTTAATATTTTGGTAAAATTTCGGTTCAAAATTCTATATATTTTATCCTTGTTCGAACCAAGCTTACAGTAAACATTTGATTATTGCCTCAAAAAAGAATAGGTATCACTTTTTACAGAATAGCGAATTAAAAAAATTTTAAACCCCCTGAATTAAATGTCAAGTTGCACATCCAAAATGGCGACGAAAATGAATCTCATTATTTACACAATATCATTATGTCATTATTTTATTTTATCGCATAGCAAATCATTATCAATTTTTATATATTTATTGAGAAGTAATTTGAATTCAAAGATTCATTTAAACGTTCCAAACACAATTCTTTTTTCGACCTTTTTCGTTTTCCTTTTTAATCTACGAGTTGTATTAAACTTAAATTAATTTTTAATTCGAACCTTTTTTTTTCATTTAAAAGAGATAAAGTTTCCGTATACCATTGTTAAGAATTTTACATAAAAGCACTTAGTAATTAGCGTCTGTGATAATTAAAGCTCTTATATTATTCCCAGGGTTAAAAGGGAAATATATATTCATTTGTTTTGTCTTTTTCCCTCTTTATTTATAATTATCAAGGAAATTCTCAGGACCAAAAAAAAAAAAAATCTTTTACACAAGAATAAAGAAATTAATTTATTCTATTAACTTCAAAAATTACAACAAAAAACAAAAAAAAAAAATACGTTCGTAATTGGTTCCTTTTGATTTATCTTTCTCGATTATCAAATATAAATTGTAAATAAAGGCATGGACCAATATCAAATAGTTGTACTTGGAGATACCACCGAAAGTAAGGTAAAAAAATTTTTTTTTCAGTTTATGATTTTTTTATTTTAAAGAAAAAACATAGAGTTATAATTTGCTAAAAAAAAAAATAACCTCTATTTGTTGTTCATGTAAATAGTTTCTTTTAAGTAATTATGCCGGTAAGTAAAGATCAAATTACGTTCTGAACAATTATTTTTTTAAAAAAATATTATTGATTCATTGATTTCATTGATTAATCTTGCAACAATTGTACGCGTCTTTCGTAATAATAGAAGTTGGTATTTTACACTTTATTATCACGTGTTGGGAATTATTGAATTTATTGTATATTGAATTATTATTTATTTTTTTCAATTAAGTATAATACTTCAACAATCGATACAATCGATGACGCGTTTGAGATGAAACTTATGATTGACAATTTACCTTGCGTGGTAAAACTATTAGATGGTAATAAAACAGATGGTAAGTTTTATAAAAATACTTTTGTTTGATCACATGATATAAAGATTTAAAAATGGTTTATATATAATTAACTAAAATTTTTATTATTATTATTTTTGAAAGGACACGAAATCTCAAATCATCTGATCAGGTATAATAATAATAATAATAATAATAATAATAATAATAATAATAAAAGAATAAAGATTAATTTCAAATTCATTTAACAAAATAAATTGGTTATTCAAATTATAGAACTTCCGAAGCACTTATTCTGGTCTACTCAATAATTTCGTTTGAAAAATTTCGTCGTATCGAACATTATTGCAAGAAAATTTTCAACTCCATTACAAGAACAACTTTTTCAACTCCAATAATTATCGTTGGTGACAATCTTGATAAAGTAAATGAAAGGGAAGTTTCTCGTAACGAAGGTTTACAATTAGCAGAAAAATATAAATGTGAATTTTTGGAAGTATCAACTAAAACTGCATTGAATGTAGAAAAATGTATTCACACTTTGGTGAGAATGATTAGGAGGAATAACGAAGATGAGAAGAATATGAATTTAAAAGATTGGAATGGAAAAGAAAGAAATCAAGATACGAAAATAATGAAATGTAATATATTTAAAAATGTTTTGGAAATGTAAAAAAAAAAAAAGAATATTTTTATTTATTATTATTACTATATATTATTTTATTTACATATTTTTTTTATTTATATACATATTATTTATTTATATATTCTTTATTTTATTATTTATTTATTATATATATATATTATTTTTATTTTTATATAATATAAGCTGGAAGTTCAATATATGTAATTAAGAATTTAAGATATTTAAGATAAAGATATTTAAGAATATTAAGATATTTAAGATATTTAAGATATTTAAGATATTTAAGATATTTAAGATAATTATTGTTACCTGATTTCTTCTGATCTTTCTGATCTGATTTCAAAAAAAACATTTTGTTTCTAAAATTGGAAAAATGCATTACATTTAATCGTCTGGTTTTTCAAAAAAAAAATGAATTCAAAATTTTTTTACCTTTCGATTTTTGAATTTTTTTATTGTTCAATAACAATTAATTCTTTTGAGCCTTTTAAACCTGAAAGACGTAATTATCATAGTACCGCTCGTATTGGAGAGAAGCTTTATTTTTTTGGAGGAGATTATAATAATCGTAATCTAAAAAACTTTTTTTATTTGGATTTATCATTTCCTTTTAATAAGAATAACCCACCAAAGCAGCAATAAGTGTTAATGAAATTGATAATTCAACAATTTTTTTAATTGGTGGTGAAAGAGAACCCCGCCAACGAAATACTTCTTATTATGTTTATTCATTTAATTCTAAATCTTATACTTGGAGTCAACTTAAAATTAATTGAATTACTTCTGAATGGCATTGGGATATGCGAGCATTAATAACAAAAATAATAAAGAGGAAATTTATATTTATGACGGATGGTCTGATGGTCTTGGTCTTTCCAATAAGCTATATATTTTAAATACTATAAATTTATCATGGATAGAAGGTCCAGATTCGTTGTGGGTATACGGTTACATTATTATCTAATGGAATTATTGATGATGAAAATGGGGTTGATAAGGCAAATTACGTATAAATTTACATGCATATTATTATTATAATTATTATAATTAAAAAAAATTCTAATATCTAAATTTTGCTTTATGATACCAATAAAAGCACTTGGGATTCTATGGTAAAATAATATATAATAAATTCAATCACTTTAATTGATTTAATCTTAACAAAAAAAAAAATTAAAAATTTAGAATAAAATATTATTACTTTATAGGTCAATCAAGGGATTCAACTTAAAAATCGAACTTACCATTCAGCAGTATTAAGTAAGATTGATTTTTGTCATTTGATTAAATATTTATAAATTTTATAATTACATTAATTTTTTACATTCTATTAAAAGTAAATAATGATGAGATATTAGTTTCAATTATGATTCTGAACATGATTTAATAGTTTTGAATACTGGCTTTCAACCTTACAAGTGGTCAGTACCAAAACTTCTTGCACCTAATAGTCAGCCGTCATCATTATATGGTCATTCTGCTGACATAGTTGGGAATTATATGATTATAGCATTTGGTATTAATATTATCAATATGATTATTTAAATATATTTATATTTATTTATATTTATTTATTTTTATTGTTTAGGTTATATAAAATATATGATATATATATAATCGTTTTATCTATAAGAAAATATACTTGGGTAATAGATTTTCAACCCGAAAGAAATATTGTTACTAAAACCGTAACAACAATTTCTGCAGCATCAACAACAAATATAGTAACAACAACAGTAATTTCAATAATTACTGTGGTTCCTGAACCTTCTGAACCACCTGAAAAATATTTTATAACAAAAGGATGGGTTTTTCAATTGCTTTTTGAGTGTATAATTATTTAGGTTTTTTCTTTCCCAAAAAATATCTTTCTAGATATTTTTTTATTTTAGCCATTTATATTTTATTCGTGGACCAATTTTCGGAATGGCACTTTATTCAAATCACAATTGAAGATCTAAGTGTTGTGATTAGCTGGACTAGAAATATAATAATAAACTACCTTTTGGCCTCTAAGTAAAATATTTAGTTCAAAATTTACTGTAAAACATCTAAAAATTATAAACCTACGGAAACTCATTTTTTATTTCTTTCTTCTATTGACAAATATCGAGGTTTCGTTTATTTTTTAATATTATTTGTCTAGTGTAATAGATTGTCGGTCAATTCTTTTTTTTTTTGAATTTATTCATTAAATTTTTTAATAACACAAATTGTAAAATCATTCGGCATTTTTAGCAAAAAATTATAAAAGAAACAGTTTATATTAGAAAAATCCACCACAGTAAAATTTCACATGGATGAAATAGATTCACAAATATCACCACAAAAGTATAAATACGGTGGTTGACTTTATGAGAAGAACGATTCTGTTAACGCACTAAAGGAAAAAATCAAGGAGAATTTTCACCCTCAGTTTGAAAATATCGTCGCCAAATATTATGTTATGGAAATTGAACGTCCTATTCGATAACGACACAGTGCCCAAAAATGATACTGAGACGGGTATCCAGCGTCCTTGTAAAAAATTAAAAATGTCTTTACTGAGGAAATCGCTGATGATTCTATCATGCGTCCCTGGTAAGTAACAGATACCCATCAATTAATTTTATCCTATGATAATACAAGAGGAAATCAACCAACTAAAATAAACTTTATTCAAGTCTTTGTGTATAGTTATGCGAAGAGAGAAAAAAGAGGTATAGCTGATTGGGAATTCGAAGATTAAATTAAACCAATAAACAATTGGATTCGCTTCAAATAATAATGCTCCTGAAGTCAGAGACGAAATAAGAATACATTAGCCATTTTGTAAAAATGTCTTATATAACATAGTGAAGCAGATAGATGGGATACTTGTTTTGAGGACGGTAAAGAAAATTGGGAAGATCAAAGTTTATAGTTGGTTTGTTTACCACAAATAATCCACTTAATTTATCGAAAGGTTTGGGGTGGCAAATCAAGGATGATCTGGTGGACAGTGCAAACTGTAAGAAAGGGAAAGGACAGTTAATAAAATACGCTAGATAACAGATGAACCCCATTGGAAATCTTATACAGATGTTTAACTGATGGCTTTTTATGAAAATTATAGTTAAAGTCAAAAACCACAGTTTAATTTGATTAGAATCCTACTTCAAGTTTGAACAGAGTGACAGAGTGTAAAGTATAAGTAGAATTCTAGGTCAACTTTGGCCTAATAAAACAATATCATGAACAGCTCCTGCTATCTGTATTTCATTTTGCAAAAAAAAAAAAGCAAAAAATATTTATATGTGCTTTTGTCTACAAATATTATTTTACGGATAACATAACAGAAATAAGTCTCAAAAAAGTTATACATATACAAAATAACTAAAAAACATCTTGGCTTCTTTTGTTAAAGAAAGTACACTTATTCAACTAAACTCTGATAATTATATTCAAGTGCAAATTATATCACATCTTTTAGTTTCTTAGCTCAAGTACTTGATTATAGAATAATCACGCTATTTTTGATGTGAGTTAAATTTATTAATTTGATCTAATTTAATCAGATAATCAATTAATCGTTTTTGAAAATTTAAGACCATAATTATATAATCAATTATAATAATAAATAATCGATTTTTTATAATAATCATATTTCGATTTGGACTACTAATTGATTAAATGACTTTCTTATCCGAAGATTAAGACAATAATTTTCTGATTAAGCGATCTCTATTGTCTTCAAAGGTATCTCGATCGATTTTAGACCAATTGGTATTACCATTCGACCCAGTTTGATGAGAAGAATCTAAAAGATATAAATCATGTTTCCAGGGCTATTGGATGCTGAGATATTGTAAAAAAAAAAAAAAAGTTTAAAAAGTTTAAATTGAAATATTTCAATATCTATCTTTAATATTATCCCTCGATAAGGTTAATCAACAAGACATAAACTGTAAAAATCCATTCATTGGTTACCGAGATATCTTAATTTAAAATTTGAAATTTAAAAAAATTCTTTGTCTGTATTATTATAATTTATATTTTACTAATTACGTCATAATGATTAATATATTGAAGAAAAAGTTTATAGAAATTGTCGATTGCTTCCCGGAAGTTTATTGTGTGACGACCTTCAACTTGAAAGCCTCTTATAACAACTAATGAGATTTCCGAACTATTTTGAATTATCATTTAAATAATGAATTTTTTTTGTTTAAGGTATACATTTATCATTTTTAAATCCCAAAGAATTGCGAATATTGCATCATTTCACTTGCCATTTATTTGCATCACTTCAAAAGAGGCAATTGTTGGGGTAATTTCTTTATATAGATTTATATTTTTCACACAAATTTATTTTCGTGTAACTTCTATTAATATATTTATTGTAAAAGAAGGAAAAATGTTCGGCTTCAGTGTAGCGTACTACATAACATCATGAAATGTAATAGTTTATTTTTTTTTTATTCGTAATTTAAGGTAATGAAGTAAGGATGCTATTCCTTTAGCTATTATACTCTTTATTATTATACTTTTATTATAATCTTTATTATATTATCAAGTTAATTGACCTTACTAAATATGTCTAAATTAATTGTTAATTCTATTGATTTTGTAATTATTTTTTTTTACTATATAAATAAATATAATAAATATATAATTTATATATATACTATTGTTAGGAAGATCTTATCTCAAATCCCGTGGGGGTTTAGTAAAAGACAATTTGATTTATAGATTCATTATTCCTAATCGGAATAAAATCAACAAAAAAAATAATGATATGGTAAGCAATGAAATACTGTATAAATATGCAAATAAGATTTACAAATTGTTAATCTTTCCCCGTCTGTTTGTTCATCTGCTTTAACCAATTTAGGAATGAATTAATTCCCACGAATCCAGGTATTTATTTAAATCAGAAAACGATATATTTTTTTTGATTCTCCTTTCTTTTCCTTCAATTAATTTATTTAATAATAATAATAATAATAATAATAATAATAATAATAATAATAATAATAATAATAATAAAATAATAATAATATGGTGATAATGATAATAACCTTTATGAATACTTTATGAATCTTTATAAATTGTATATGATTAAAAAAAATAAAATTTTTCTTTTTTTTTAATACACATATTACATATATAACAAATATAACATACAAATATACAATAATATTTATAACATAGTAAATAATTAATTTAACCTAAAAAGAAATGGCGGTTCAAACTTATGATGTTGCAGCCAATTTGTTTAGTATAGTTTTGGATGTTTTTTTTCGTGAAATCAGATCTCGAGGATCTCATCGAATTCCCAAAGAAGGCCCAATAATATTTGTTGCTGCGCCTCATGCGAATCAGGTAAAACAAATTCACTTCCTAATCTCGTTCTCGAATCATTTCGTATTATTATTAAGTATTTTTTATCATTCTCAGTTCGTAGATCCTTTAATTCTGATGAGACATTGTCAACGTCGAGTTTCATTCTTGATCGCTGAAAAGTCTACGCGAAGACGATTCATAGGAACGATAGCAAAATATCTTGATGCGAGTAAATAATATTTCTAATATTTATATTATTTATTTATAATCGTTTTATTATTTAAAATTATTATTAAATTATTATTATTATTATTAAATTATTATTATTACTATTATTATTAGTTTCCGTCATCCGACCTCAAGATTTAGCCAAACCTGGAATAGGTAGAATTCAATTACTTAATTGTAAAACTGAACCCACTCGAATTTTTGGTATAAATACAAAGTTCACGCAACAATTACAAATTGGATATCAAATTGGACTTCCCCGAGATCGAGGAACTTCGGAAGTTATAAAAATTATATCGGATACAGAACTTTTAATTAAAAAAGAATTTAGGGATATTAAAGCATTAGAAATGTTAACAAATCCGGAAGGTACTTCTTTTGTATGTATCCCACAAATTGATCAAAGTTCGGTTTATCAAGTTGTATTTGAAAGATTGAACAATGGTCATTGTATTGGAATATTTCCTGAGGGGGGAAGTCATGATAGACCTGAAATATTACCACTTAAAGGTATAAATATTATTATTTTTTTTTGTTTTATTATTTGATTTTTATTATTCGATATTAATTTTATTTGATGATGAAATTTATTTTTTTAGCCGGAGTTACGATAATGGCTTTAGGAGCAGTTGCAGCTAATCCACAACTTGATGTTAAAATTGTTCCATGTGGTATTTATAATATTTTATTATCTTGCATTAATCTTTTATTACCTTTTTATTATCTTGCATTTATTTATTTTTATAATCTAACATTTTATTCATATATACAATTTACATGTGAAAATGGAATAATTAAAAAAGGATTAAATTATTTCCAAGCACATTCTTTTAGATCCAAAGCAGTAATTGAATTTGGTTCACCAATTTCAATATCACCTGAATTAGTAGAAAAATATAAAGAAGGTGGTTCATCCAAACGAGAAGCATGTTCAAAATTATTAGAAATCATTTATAATGGATTACGAGCCGTCACCGTCAATACTCCTGATTATGAAACATTGATGGTCAGATATCTTATATTTATTATTAATATTATCTATTTAGTATTTACTATTATATACTAATAATTATAATAATTATATATTTTATTAAATATTTAATAATTAGTTTATTCAAGCGGGAAGAAGACTTTATCGACCAGCTCATAGAAAATTACCGATTTCTCAAATAGTAGAATTAAATAGACGTTTTATAGCTGGTTATGAATATTTTAAAGATGATTCTAGAGTACAAGAAATGCGTAAACAAGTTATTGCGTATAATAAATTATTAAATTATTATGGTTTGAAAGATCATCAAGTCAATAGGACAGCAATTGGTGGACCTAGAGCGGCAGGATTATTACTTTATAGAGTTATGTTGTTGACTACTTGGAGCAGTTTAGGATTACCGGGGTAAATATTTCTCTTTTATTTATTTATTTATTTATTATTATTATATATATATAATTGTATATACTAATTTTATTTTAATTACTAATTTTATTTTAATTTATAATTTTATTTTAATTTATAATTTTATTTTAACTTATAGTTTCATATTAAATCTACCTTTAGTAATTATTGCTCGTAAAGTTAGTGCCAGAAAAGCTGAAGGTGTTTTACATTTACATATTTTATTATAATATTAATATAATATTTAACATTAGATAATTTAATATTTATATATAATATTATTAATATAATATTATTAATATAATATTATTAATATAATATTTAAATAATATTTTATAGAAGCTGTTCGTAGTTCATCAGTTAAAGTAGCAGGTCGAGATGTTCTGGCAACTTGGAAACTTCTTGTTGCTTTAGTAGTCACGCCACTTCTATATGGATTTTATACATTTATTGTAGTACTCATATCATTTAGGAAGAGATGGATATTAAAATGGAAATTATTTGCTCCTATATCAACTTTTTGTACCTTAGTGACAGGAAGTTATGTTACTATTCGATTTGTAGAAAGTGGTCTTGATATTTACAAGTAATTTTCACTTTCAATAATAATAATAATAATTTCAATTATAATAATACTTTAATTTAATTTAATTTTTACAAACATAATAATAATAATAATTATAATTATAATTATTATTATTATTATTATTAACAAAAAATTTATAAAATTTCAGATCAATTCGTCCATTATTTTTATCATTACTTCCTTGGACTAGACCAAATATCGAAAATTTACGTAATGTACGCGAAAAATTATCAGATGATCTCACCAATCTTATTAATCAATTAGCACCACAAATTTATCCAGATTTTGATGTTGAACGTATTATATCTCAATCAACAGCAACCACTAATAGTATCACTTCTACTGCTATGAGTATATTTCAATCTCCTATTGATTGGTTGGACGATAAAATTTTTAGTTGGGATCGACCAGATAATAACAATTATATATCAGAATATGATGATGTACTCTTTTTTCTGGAAAAGAATAACGGTAGTACAATGTCTGGTCGTAGTAGAACTAGTAGTTGGGGTAGTGTTTCTAGTTCAAGATCACGTAGTAGAGCGAATTCATTTGGTTCCGTTGGATGTGGTAACGTTACTGAAGGGTTATTAAGAGTTGAAGCATTAACTGAATTACCGAAAGATCAACCATTTGCTGAAGTAACTAAAGTAACTAAACGTATTAGTAGCGTTATAACAAAAATAAAAGATAAAGAAAATGATTACGATTCTGGATATCAAGGGGATAAAGAAGATGATGGAAATCAAAAGAGTAGATGAAAATAAATAAATAAATTTACCTTTATTATAATAATAAAATTACAATATTTAAATTTTTTTGAACAATAAAAATATATTTAATTTATTACAGTATTGAATTAATCATTGGTAATTGTCTAAATTGTAGAAAGATTAAAAAAACTAGAAAAAAAATAGAATATTAAAATATAGAAATGAATTTATACAATTTATACATTTGTTAAGTACTGCAAATATTCAAAATATTCGACGTTATAATTTTTATTAACGGAATAATAAATAGCTTTACTACCTATTCGAAGAACAATGAATAATAGAATTTCTCAATTCAAGAATATCATAATTTTATTCTTCTTCCTAATAATTATTTATTATCGTCATCATTAACAATTAACACAACCATTAACAATACAATTAAAACAATTTTCAAATCCTGAAAATCAATTCATAAATTTAAATAGCAAACCACAAATGACTTAAATGTTACATAATATTCATCAATATAAAAATCATTCGATTTTGATGATCATTTTGACTAATCAAACAACCTTAATATTACATGTCTGAAAGTGCCATTCGTCTGCAAATGGTTAGATATACATTCAAAACCACAGTACTTTGAAACTTGAAAATCACATCTATGATCACGACTTCAATTCTTGTAACGGAGCTTTTCGAGAAGACTCAATTTATATATGTCCGTGGGAAGGTTGCAAGAAGAATCAGAGTAATTTTATTAAATTAGAAGGTATAAAAATATATCAAGCACTTTTTGGCTTTGCTAGCTCCACTGATACTGTAAAATTATAATAATATCTTGTAGAACATTTACACAAACACACTCAACAAAGACCATTTAAAGTAGGCTCAAAAGACTATTTTACCTGTTACTTTGCTTTTCAAGCACAAGGGTGGCCAAAACGATCGCATTGACTTTTTTCTTTCATAATATCTAGTGTCCAATTTGCAATGGTTCGCGATTTGTTTCCTTTAATGCACTAAATCGTCACTTGATTATCAAGCGTTGTGGACTCTACAGGTACCGATGATGATACATTATATGATGAAAATGAAAAATTGAATTTAGGTATTGTTACCACAATTCTTTCATCTATTTGAAATTTAACATGGATTGTAGTTAAATAGACGTTTGAATTTATATACCTTTGATATTATACATGATGAATTATATTTTTTACTTATCCTAACATATTTTCTTTTCTTGTTAAAGGAAAAGTCAAAAATGAAATTGATGTTCTTGTGAAAGAGAAAGTCAGCAAAGATGAAGCTGCCATTCTTAAAGGAAAAGACAATCGAAATGAAATTCTACCAATTCATCTTGCAAAATTATCTTATCGTAATGTTCTCATTAAAGACATGGTCAATAAAAATAAAGACACAAAAGATTTTATGACTAGACGTTATCAACATGAAGAGGCTGTATGGGATTTATTTTGTAAGGGGATAGATGCTATCTCATTATTGCCGGAGGATCCAATTGATCCTGATTATGAATCTGATGAGGATGATTTACCCGATGGTTCAAAGGAAGAATTGACTGAGGCCGAACAGGACAAACTTATATAGGAATCATTTCGTAATGCTCATAAAGGTTCAAAGGCTGTTGAGTATTTTAATCAAGCCTTCGAAATGTTGGAAAAGGGATTTTGAGCATGAATTTTATTATTTATGGGTCATATTTACAGAAAAAATAGCAAGAATTTTTATTTTTATAAAATCTTTCCCTTCGATCATTACCAATTATTTAATTGCACGAAATTAAATCATTCATATTTCATTTTATTCAAACAATCTCTATGAACCAGATTATTTCGTAATAGCTTGTATCTAAATAATATCTTTATATCATGCACCGACATACCAAATTTTCCAACTAAACGATTAACTTTTCCCTTAACTTTTTGATTTGAGTTTATTTGTTCATATAACTCATGAAACGTTTATTCTCGCGTACACCTTCATTGTAGGCTTGTAATAAAAGGTTGTACCATGATTCGATAATATGACAAACGTCGTTAATTGCATTAAGTCTTTTCTCTCCAAAACATGGTTCTAATAATAATTAAGTTAAAGTTATTTGTGTTTCGTGATATGATAAACGGAAAGAGATCTACATATAAGAACTATAATCTCGTTCTGGAATAAGAACATCACAATATCATAAAAAAAAGTAATGGTTCTGATTTAAACATATTTTTAGTCTCGAATAATAACATCAATAAAAAAAAGATATATGCCTTTTTTTAATGATTAAAAAATCAATTTTTATACAATTAGGAAAAAGTTTCCTCGAAATCCATTATATAAATCCTTTCTGTTTCTGGCGAATCACGAATTAAGTATCTATATTAGATCAAGACATACATACCTTCTTTTAACGATTATCAAAGCATCGTTTTCAGCAGTAACTTGGCCCGTTTGTTGTTTTCGATATTGTAACGTTTTGTTGGACGACCTTCAACCTTAAACCGGAGCAACGTAACAGTATCTTCAGGGTCAACTTGTACGTTATTTTTTTTTCCATGCATTGTCTGTTTAGTTCGAAAAACGTCGCCATTTAATGAAGAGAATTATTAGTATAGAAAATGTTTGGTCACATTTTTAAAGGATGAAATAAAATGACGTTATAATAAACGGAATTTAAAAATTGATTATGATATTTGTCTACGGAGATCTATCTTGCATAAAACGAAATATAATTGCTCGCTTTACATTATCTTTTTTCAAAATCCATTATTTCGAAGTACCAGAAATAGAAAATACGAAATCATTTAAAAGGGAAGCTATTGTTACTTGTTTCTTTATAATGATTTTTTTTTTTATTTTTACGAATTCTTTAAATTAAATATTATTTTACAAACATGTCTAATACCTTAGCTGGAAAATTTTTGATTTTCTCACGAAACGAAAAACATTGCCCGTAGTAAGGCAGATACAAAAAAATAAATTTGTGAATACATATCGCCGTTACATGATGTAAAAAAAAATCCAACTATTCAATGGGGTTAAACCACGATATAGATAAAATTTTCAGGGGATTCTCATTAAAATAGCTAAAAATTCTATCCTCTTCTTCCATAGGTTTTTCTTGATCCTTGGGGTGAATTTTTTTGAAGATAAAATTTATAGGGACGAAGATTAATTGGAAAGTGGAGTGATATCCTAGATTTAACCACTTCTTCTATTGTAAAAGTTACATTTCTATTATGGAAGTTACGGTATCTCAAGTTGAGACTAAGAATATCGTTATCTTCTTTTCAGCTGACACTTTTCTTAAATATAAAGAACGAAATTTCATTTTCATAGTAAACCCAAATTTGAGTCGATCTTTGACCAAAATATTTTTGTATACGTGATCATATAGCATCAAGAAATTTTATAATTTGTGTATAAAATTACATTTTTGACTTCGCTCACAATTTAAGCAATATAGATTGATTTTCTACTAAAGTAGATAGAAAGGCCTTGTTCTCAGCTACAATACAATATGTGCTTCATCTCTGTAACGTCGATATTCATTGAGATATAACGGTTTAAATCAGCACGTGCGTGAAAAATTAAATTAAATAAAATTTTTTACGGACGCGCAGGTTTTAAACCATCGTATCTCAATAAATATAAATGCTACAGAATGAAACACATATCATCTTTTAGCTAAGAACAAGGCCTTTCTATCTATATTATAAATACCTTGGTATGAAATCGCGTAAATTACAAAAAAAGTAATTTTACGCACAGGTGGCAGTGTATACAGAAAAGATTTTAAAGGCAAATTAGCGGAATATGCAATAAAAAATACAAATCAAATTGAAGAGTATTTAATGAATTAAAAGATTATTTTATATATTTAAATGTTAATAGTTTTGGTCAAAAAAATTTTTTTGCGTTAACTAAAATAATCTTTTTCTTCACGGTCACGTGTTTCATGGGAAGGGACATTAAACTATTGTTGAAATTGAAGGAAATTTTGCTCGTTCGTATTTCATCTTAATTCTATAACTATTTTTTTTATTCTAGATTTTAGTATCGCTGAAAGTTGGCAAGTTATGAAATACTTAATTTTTCTCTAATTGTTGTAATGAGATAAGGATATGAATTTTAATTTATGTTTACTTAACTATCTCTCCTACCTCCGATATGAAATAAAATACAAGCAGTGAATCTTCAACTCCTTCAACTCGTGTTAACCTGATATTGTGTTCCTGGTTAAAATAAGAATTATGGTAAGTATAGCACAGATGTTGAAATTACTCATTGAATTCTTTTTTTTTGTTGGTAATTTATCTTTTTTGTATTCTAATAGAAAAATTCTGTTATTTGTGAGTAAATATAATGCATTGCATAAATGTCAACAAATAGTTTTTTTCATTTTTTTTTTCACTTTCAGTATACTATTCCAAAATCAACCTTCAATTCCTATTTTAAGCCTTGTTTGTTGATATACAATAATGAAATTGTTTGGACCCTTTTTCAGTATTGTGATTGTTAATGTTTACATAATAAAATAAGATATTACGTAAAAATTCAATTACAATAGAATAGATAAAACTTTTTTTTTTTTTTAAAAAAAAAAAAAAGACAAATTTGGATAAAAGGAATAAAATAAAATAATTTGGCAAAATTTAATGAAAAGGCTTGACTTTAACTGAAGTGCATCTTCGTGAATATAGTAAATATAGCAATTGCAAATGAACAATAAACAATGAATTTATTACTTTTTTATTTTACTTTTATGTTTTTGCACAGTTTAATAGTTGCTATTTCATTTAATCCACAATCTCGCTATTTTCATAATTCAGTTCATATTAAGGATAAACTTTTTTTCTTGGGAGGATCTAACGATAATAGCCCTTGCTTAAGTGATTTTTTTTATTTGGATTTAACTCTTCCTTTTCATAAAGATATTCCTCCATGGTATAATCTTGATTTTCGTAAAATACCATTTTGTGTTTCTGGTGCATTTTCAAGTTTTGGTGGATTTGATGATTCAACAATTTTTTTAATTGGTGGAAATAGAAGCATTAGATATCATTATTACGTTTCGTCATTTAATACTAAAACTTTTGTTTGGAGTCATGTTTCAATAGATCAAAGTAATCTTCTATGGCAACGAAATATGCAAGGAGTTACAAATGATAAAGGAGAAATATATGTTTATGGGGGATGGACATTAGATACTAATTCTAGTTCTAATAAATTAAATATATTAGATACTGTAAATTTAAAATGGATGACAGGTCCAAATTCACAAGTTGGTCATTTTGGACATACTGCTACATTATTATCTAATGGAATTATTGTTATCATTGGAGGAAATGTTAATGATAAATGTAGACTTAATAAGGTATTATACTTGTACATATGTACAATATATGAGTGATATTAACATCTAGACTTACAAAATATTTTATAATATTTATAATATTTATAATAATAATAATATTATTATTATTATTATATCTAGATTTGGCTTTATAATACGAATAAAAGCGATTGGAGTTCTATGGTAAATTTTAAATAGATATTATAAATTTAATCACTAATCAATCTAATCTTATTAAATTACTTTCTAGAATACTCAAGGAATTTTACTTTCAAATCGTATCCATCATTCAGCAGTATTAAGTAAATTTGGATCGATTTATTTAAACAGAATTGTTAAAAATTTATATAATTATATTAACAATTAATATTTTATTTTGATTTATTGTGTTCTATTTAATAGCGAAAAATGATAGAATAATAGTTTATGGTGGAATTAAAGATGATACAAATGCCACTGATCCTGATTTAGTAGTTTTGGATACCAAAGTTCTCCCTTTTAGTTGGTCAGCTCCAAAAGTTAATATAATTAACAGTCCTCCTTTATTATATGAACATTCTGCTAATATGATTGGAGATTATATGATTGTAACATTTGGTAAATGTATCATTATTAGGTTTTTTTTTTAGGATTTAACCAATAATTAGTATTTTGCTTTTTTTTTTTTTAGGTTTATTTGAAAAATTTAAAGTTTATAATAGAATCATTTATCTATTGGATGTAAGAAATTATACTTGGACATCATATTTTCATCCAAAAAGAGATATTATCACAACAACACAAGTAATAACTACTACAGAAGTAATAACTACTACGCAGATAATAACAACAACAACAACACGAGAAAGAGGATATACAATTAATACAGAAATCCTCCCTCATCAGTTTATTCTAAAATCCAATTGATTTTAAAAGGAGATCAAATAAATTATCTAATCTATCTCTTAAATTTAAATTATCTAATCTATCTCTTAAATTTATGTTTCTTCAAATATTGATATATTCCTATATCAAAAAAAAAGCCATTTGTAATTGATTACATAATACGTTATTGCATTTTTATGTAACACAAATAAATTCACGTTTTTATAGCAGAGATAACAATATACCGAATATCATATTTTTATGGTGTCCTTTTACTTTGTTTTTGTGTTCCTGCAATTTTAGTTGGTTATTGCTTCATTCATTTTCGGAATCCCATATTTATCATAGTTCAATTAAGGTCTATACATTGATTTATTCGGTTTTTTTGTGGAATTGATATCAAATTTTCTAATTGGTAGAGATCGAATTGATTTAGAAAGTAATTTTTACTTGTATGTCTGATTCTAAATCAATTTCTTTTTTAAAGTTATTCTCGCAATAAGGGAATTTATTTGTTTAATTTGAATAAACTTCCTTTTGGAGTTATTTCTTAATTTCGGAACGATTGATGAAGCGCAAGGAATTACTAACTATAAAGAAGAAAAATTCAGGATTTTCATCAACATCACGTGAATTAATCATATTAAAAATATTATTAATTCTATTAAGAATTACATATAACTATTAATAAGCCCAATTCTTATAATCAACCTATCCTCAAATGATTACATGAATCTTTTCGAAATATTTATTAATAATAAATAAAAAAAATTTGATGAAATAAAATCAAATAAAACTAAAGAATGAAAATTAAAAATGATAATGATAAACTAATTCTTGATAATTCAATTGGAAGATTTGTATGATTAAACTTTATTAATAATGTATAATAATATGAACTTAATTAAAAATAAATGATAGTACAACATATAGAAGCTTATTATTTATCATATTTGTATTGTAATTGAGCATAATTGAAGTCGATATTAACAATATCAATGAGATGATTATTATTAAAAATTATTACATTAAACATATTATATCTTAAAAAAACTAAAATTTATAATGAAATTTTGAATATTCTAAATATATAAATATATATATATATATATTTTTTTTTTTTGTAATTTTTAAATAAAATAAATAAAAGAAATTTCTTGTTGTTATTCATATGTAATATTTATTATAGAAATATCTTGATACCAAATCTTCATCTTATTTTCTTTTTTTGAGTGCAACGACCGAATATTTAAAAAATTGGTCGAATACGATTATATAAAAAACGAGGTGCACCCGTAAGAAAATAGAACATTTTGTCGACAAGTGGTTGAATTACAATCAAATAATAAATTCGAACTAAATTCATTGTGTTTGTGTAAATTCTTGGAAGATTTGTCTTTTGTCTTTTTTTTTTTTTTGTTTATTGAACAATGCGAGTTGAATATTCTTTTCTTAAAATATTTATACCTTGGGTTTGTGAGGGTAGTTTTTGTTATAATTTGATTTAAGTGGTTTATCGAAAAAAATTTAGCAATTATGTTAAAGAAATTGGTTTGAAATAATTAATTTGCTAATTAATTATATTCAGGTAGAAAAGAAGAAAATAATTTTTGTCTTCAAGAAAAAAAAAGAACCGTGATTTATATATAAATTTCAATGATAAGAAATATATAAATGATATAAAATGATATATTCTATTTGATGTATTTGTTTATTTTTGTACGCATATAAACGAGATTAAAATGGTATTGCATTTAGTATTTAAATCATGCATAAGTAATAATAATAATAGAAATATTATAAATGAAATTAGAATAATATAAAGAAAAAACTATAAGGACTATTATACAATTATGGATATAATAAGTGTTATGAAATTCCTTCTTTTATTTTATTTTTTTACCTTCAAATGAGTACACATAAGTACGCGCAAGCCAAATGCAATTATTGTAAATCTCGTGATAACCCGAAGTCCTTTAAGTATTCAATGTATTACACGTTTCTGACGCGTATTATTATTTTTTTTGTTTTCTTATGTAAGCATTATTAATCTGTCGATCAATTAGGTTTTGATTTATCTTAATCTGTTTTACAGGAAGATCATTGAGTATATTTTTTATGGACGAGATCATCAAATTTTCACACACATCTACTTTACAATATTTCTATATATAATCTTTATAATGTACAGTATTTAATGTGCTTTATATAATGTCTGTCTATATATTTATTTTTATTATATTCACGTTTTAAGGTATAAAAAGTCTTGTTTAAAATGTGGATTTGCAAAAAAAAAAAAATGTAAAATGCAAAGTTTGGAAGAATTAAGATAATCTTATGTAATATTAGTAATTACTGTTTACTGCATTAACTTGCTGCAAAATAATAATTATTATTATTATTACTAACAAAAACAGAGTTGACGTGTTTATATTCTTGTTTTTGCTTGCATTTCTAAAAATATAAATAATCTAATAAGCTTCCGGTCATTTCTCTGTTGATAAATAAATCCGAGACGGAAAAAGTTAAAAAAGCCTAATAATTGATTTTTATGCACGGGTTTATTTTTATTTTATTTTATAATAAGAATACAAAAATAGTAATTTTTTTATCGATTTTATTTAATTTATGTTTAATTAAATTAATTAAAATTATAAAATAATAAAAATGGTAATACTATTTAGAATCTTTTTTTCTATTTATTTTCAATTTCCTTAAATCCCTTACACTTCTAGTCCTTCTTCAATTGAATTAACATTGATTGTTACGAACGTGAATTTTCTTATGTCGCGTTTCTCTTTATCATTAATATACACATTCGAAAATAATTACTTCGTTATTTATTTATAATAATAATGAAATAATTATCATCTTAGTGTATTAACAAAGAGTAATTTATATTTAATTTTAATTTAACATTCTTTTATTGTCATTAAATCTTTTTATATCAATTATTCTTTATATTTTTTTACATTTTTTTATATTTTTTATATTTTTTATATTTTTAAAAAATTCTTTAACGATGTATTTAAATTCCGTTCCGATACTCGATAAACTAACTCAAACGCATAATGAAGATGACGAATTTAAGAATTCTATTTATGAATTCCTAAATCTAATTCCAATTGACAAATCTAATTGTCCAAAACCTTTAATATGGTATACAGGTACCATAACAGAAGATATGATGTGTATAGAAAACTGTTGTCTTTCTTGTCCATATACCAATAATTTTTATCCCGCTGGTGAATTGGAAGCTGCTTATAAAATATTTTCAATTTTTGGAATGATAAGTTTTTTCTTGATGATTATATTATCAACTTTTTTTTATTTATTACCTAGTCAAAAAGGTAATCTAACAATTAGAAAGATTATATTACCTTTGATATTGAGTGTTTGTTATTTCGAATTTGGAGAATTTTTTACATTTCAACAATCCACGAGTCAGGTTAGAAATTTACGAATTTACTTGTTTATAATTTATAATGATATTTTAGATATTTTTTTATAATAATATTTTATAATATTTTATATATTTTATAAATTTTATATATTTTATATAGTGTGTTAATTCTGTACAAAGAGCCAACATAAAAAATAATAAATATTGTGCAACTCAAGGTAAAAATTTGATAGTTTTTATAATAATTTATTCTTATTTTTTTTATTTATTATTTATTAAATTTTCTCTTTGGAACAGCATTTTTCGCAACGGGTGGAGCTTGTGCACTTGCTTGTTGTTCGGCGATGTTAATGATACATTTACATTTGGTAAGTTCAATATTTAAAGTTTCTAAAACTATTTTTTTTATTTTAAGAATAATTAATTTCTTTCTTTTCAATAGATTACAGTCTGGAATTCGGATTTTGTAATTCGTAATATACGATATTTCAACATTTCAATCCTTTTTGCCTCTTTAGCGGCATCTTTGATACCTTTATTAATGAACATAATAGAATCAGATCATATTTGTTTCATCAATAGTCAGGATGTTGGTACTTTTTATACTTTCATGAGTTTTATTTACGTCGCATTCTTTGCGCATTTGATGACATTTATTTATATGTTAAAGGTATTATTATGCTAATTCATTTGTTTATTTATATAGTTGATATATATATATATATAATTTTTATATAATTTAACTTTTTCTTTTTTTTTTTTTTAAAAAAAAAAAAAAAAAAAAAATATGTATTTATATTTATAATAGACAACCATAAGTGCTCGGAAAACCTCTAATAAAGCTAAACATTCTTCTGCATATACCTTTTTTTTTGCGAAAAACATAATAACTGTACAATGGCGGTCATTATTGGGTGCATTACTCATGTTAATTGTATACATTATAAATTGGGTAAGTGTGTTCGATAATAATTATAATAATAATTTTATAATTTTATAATTTTTAATCTTTTCATTTTGTTTAATTTTTTCAAGGTCTATTATATTAATGCTCCAAGTGCAATTTCATCGGGAATGAGATGGTCAATGGATTGGTTTGAATGTCTCCAAAAAAATAATTCAAATGATTCCCAAAATATTTGTGCTTATCTTATGAAACCATATGTTCCTCCATTTAGTTGGACTATAACTTTATTATTTTTTAATCGTTTCCTTGGTATATTGATCTTCATTATATTTGCTGTAAAAAAATGTATTTTCTTGGAAATGTGGAATGTTATTAGTCGAAAGCCTGTTAATGAACGTGAAGTGTGTTTTGATGGAAAAACACTTAAAAATGTTAAATCTAACTCATCTCTAACCAGGACACCTACAAACGAGCTAACAAAAAATTCAACGGTGGTCTAAAATTATATCCAAATTTAGAAAATGTATGTATGGTTTTCTTCCCTCGATATCACTTCGTCCGCGTAATGACAACAACATTAACTCTCATACAGTTAAATAATTACCACGATAATATATATATATATATATATATATATATATATAACATCCTCTCCCCGAAATTACTTTTTTTTTTTTGATAATGATGATATTTTACTGAATAATTTAAATTATAAATGACGTATAATAATAATTATAATAGATTAGATATCATAATTCATATTCTCGAGAGATTAGTATTGATGAAACGGAGAGTTTGTAATTTATAATTTCTCAACCTTCAAATTTTAAATAGGCAAAAAAAAAAAACAGAAAAGATTGGTTTCTTTTCACATTTTTAATATTACTTGTAATAAATAAAATTAATTGAATTAAATGTTCTCTGTTTGAGAAAGTATGTCTATTGAAGAATATTTATTGAAAAATGTTTATGTTTTAATTTTAATAACCTTTATTACATAATTTATTAATTACAATACAAAAAAAAAAAAAAAAGAAGAAAAACTATAGAAATAGTGTTAATAATGCTAGTGTTAACAGAATGGGAATAAATAAACAACAATCATATGATAAAAAAAAAGTAATTATTTAATTGGAGCAAAATCAATTACTTTACGATTTTGCGAAACTTGAGCAAAAAGACCTTTTATATCATCTAAACCAAACTTAAAATCACATTTCATTTCAGAGGTCCCACCTGATGGAGTAATCTTATATCTAAGTCTATGTGAAAGGTCGAATCTTGGTATAAAGGAAGGACATTGAGGACGTCTTACTATTCTAATCTTATATCCATTAGGAGAAGGGATAATTTTGGAACAATTTGAAGAACCTTCAAATCCAGAACAAAATTGACCAATAACCAAAGTTTTCTTATCATTAATATATATAAATTTCAAATACCCCGATATGGCATTATTGAACTTTGCGTGAAGTACTTTAGGTTTATGTTTATCCAAAGATGATGATCTAGTCATCAATGGTTCAGAAGCGTATGAAAAATTAATAAGGAAAATAAGTAATAATAACAAATTAAAAAATGTATATTTTGTATATTTCGTCATATTGGTTTCAATATAAAATTATTTAAATGTTATTTGAAAAAATTATTTTGAATATTCTAAAATATTATTTTACGAAAAAGATTTCGTTCGTAAAAAAAAAATTTATTCTAAATGGATTTCATGCTCTTTTATATTTGTCCATTATTTCGTTATATTACGTACAAGATTATTTATATCAAACATATTGATGTGGTGTGTTCAATATTTTCGCTGTAAATTTTAATTGGTATTAATCAAAATAAAGAACTATAATAACAACAATGAACATTAACTATTTAAAACAAATGACAATTTAATTAATCATCTAAAGATTTTTCTATTTTTATTTTATTTAGAATAGATACTTAATTACTGAAATTGCTGAAATAGTTGTTATATTTGATATTCATTTATATTTACTTATTTTATTTATTTTTGGCGGCACCATCAAATTATTATTCATTCTCAATTAAAAAAATAATTACCCAACCCATCTTTGGCACCTTTCTCCTACCTTTTAAAAAGATCTACATAAATTTTTTTATACATACAAAAAAATCAAAAAAATTAGGGGCAAATATAAAGTTATAATTATACGTATTTAGTTTTAAAAGTGAATCACTTAACGTGAATCTAGCTTAACGTGGGCTTCTAAAAGTACATTTAAAAATTTTAGAATAGATTCATTTTTATTTATTTGACAAAAATTAATGATACAGATAAGTCTGCAGCATATCAGGAATCTGACGCGTAAAAATAAGTCATTTTATTAACGGATTAATCAGTATTATGAATTAATCTGATGGTTCCAAAATAATATCATCATTACACGTAACTTGTGCCCTTCTTAATCGATAAAGAAAATAAATAATATATCGCTTTACGATAAAACAAATAGTATTATTATAGATCTATATACAAGTTATATAATAGTATTCGTATATCACCTTTTTATATCATTTAATGCGCTTCAAACACTCACATTTATTATACCTTCCACATAACTTTCAACGAAATATTTATTAGCATAATTATACTTTTCAACTATCCCGAGAATATTTTTTAAGTTTCTTCATGACTTGAGCTCGTTTAGCTCGTTTGTTATTTCCTTTTGACTATTTAATAAATATTATAAATAAATATTATGTCATCAGAATTTGCCCAAATATAATAATTTGCTGAGGATATTTGAAATTTGAGTTGTTTAGCTTACTAAGTGCTAACTACACCTAGTGAAGGAATATTTAAAACTATTTTAATCCATTAACAGTTTTGTCTAAAAAGATCTCGCCTAGTCTATTAAAAGCTACTACACCACAGTGAAGAAATATTTCAAGGCCTGACAAAGCTATGGACTTTTGCAATTTCATCATAAAATAATATCCTCGAGCGAAATTCGTGTAAGCGCTTTTTTGATGGATGCCACATATTCATATATACTAACATGAAACTATATAGTATAAATACGAAGAATTTGGTTTGTAAGGAAGATATATTATTTCGAGAAAAAAAAAATTAATACAGATTGCGAAAACCATAAATCTATATTAAAGTCACAGTGAATAGTAAATATTTGAATGTATCATAACCCCTCTCGAACTCAACCTAACCATTATCCTTGCCTTGAATTTAGTTAAAAAATTTACATTACTAAGTTAGAAATTCCATTCATTATATTTATTACATTGGCTCCATTACTAAATTGACTAACACAATTATTCATTCCTAACGATCCATTTAAATTATTAATTCCATTATTTTGAACATTAAAATTATCATTTAATGCTCTCAACATTTGTAAAGCTTCATATGGATCTAATGTTCCTGTGGCATTTTGAATCGACAATTCCCTGTAAAAAAAAAAATGTAAAATTGGTGAAAAATGTGAAACACTTAAAAAAAAATAAAATAAATAAAATTATGTGAGAATTTTTATTACTTACGAAACCCTTAAATAAGGATTACATTCCAATTCATCTCCAATAGTGCTAGGAACTGTACAATCAGCAGATTGTAACCACGCCAACTTTCTCTGTTATAAAAATATCATTTAGTATTTGATTATCTTTAATTATTATTTATTTTTATTCATCAAAATATTATAAACTTACGCGAATATTTTGATTATTTGGATCTATCGTATTGGCAAACTGAAGATTCGACATTCCATATTCATGACCGCAATAAACCTTTGTATCTTTCGGTAATGTTCCCAATATATTATAAAGAACATTATACATATCTTTGGCATCTCCTTCGATAAATTTTCCACATCCGCCTATAATAAAAAAATAAAAAATATTTAGAAAATTCACATGATGTGACATTCGAGAAATATAGAATATTTACCAGTTAATAAAGTATCTCCAGTGAATAAAGCTCTTTCTATATCGTCATTCATTTCATTACAATCTCGTACATAATAGCATACGCTTCCTTTTGTATGCGATGGTGTATGCAGCGAACGTACTTTCAATGTTCCAACCTATTTTTTTTTTTTTTAAAAAAAAAAAAAAAAAGATCCAATATATGAGGTTAAGAGATATTTGAAACAGAAATAAATATAAATAAATTAGATCATAAATAAATTATAATATTACCGTGAATTCTTCTTCATGTTTACATACATAATTCAATTCTAAAATATGTTTTAAAAATAAAATATAAATTTAATAAAGAATTTATTATTATTCTAAAATATTTTTTAAATGCGTTACCTGGAATTCGTGCATCGTGACCATAAATTGCAAGACTTGGTTTTTCTTTTATCAAATCAATATTTCCAATGGAATGTTTCCTAAATAATAATAATAATAATAATAATAAATAATAATTGTTTACTATCATTATCTTTATTTGTAATCGTCATTGTTTTTATATAAATATTTAAATATTTACTGATGATGATGCGTCGTCAAAACTGATGTTAATCTCGCTCCAGTTTGAGCAAGAGCCGTTAAAACCTTTCGGGGTTCAGCTGGATCAACTGCAGCAGCTACACGACATAAAATAGAAAATACATTAATAATCAAAATAATAACAATATATAAATATAAATGTCGTTTTTTTTTTTTTTATTATAATAATAATTTCAAACCATTTCGAACCTTCATTTGTTTTATCATCAATGATAAGGTAAGAGTAATTATTTTCAAATATTGGAATAGGGACTATACGCATTTTTTTTCTTAAGAAAGCTATGACAAAAAAAAAACGAAAAAAAAAGGTTAAAGAGTCATAGACATTTTAGTTTAATAATATATATAAATATTCGTATTTATACTGTCCATTTTTACAATAACACTCACGGATTTTTTTTTTAAAAAAAAAATTATAAAATAAATAATTTTTGTTTTTATTAAATTATGATAGTTTTGATCTAAGGATATTTTTTTTATTATTATTAAAAGTTGTAGAAAAGAACCACAAAAATTAAAACCGAAAATTTAAGACGTTTTATCCTTAAAACAAATCAAAGAAGAATGTTCTAAATAAATCATTTGTGGAACTCCATCAATTTCTTGGCGTTTTCTTTTGAAGAATTCTTTACCAGAAATCCATTTTTCCTTTTTTTCTATTCTAACGTGGAAAATTAAAGTCACGTGACTATAAGACAAGTATAAAAAAAATATAATAAGTTTAGATCAATAATAAAAAAAATGACATTATTTTTAGTTAGAAAATAACATTGTTACTAAAAAGGAGAGAAAATACTTTTAGCCCTTTAACTTGATTATATAGAAAAGTTTTAATTAAATCAAAAATTATTTAATTATAATATTTAAAAATACTTACTCTATCGTTTAAATTTAGATTTAAATTGCTTAAATATTCTCCGTTTTAAATTTAGAAAATTTGGTCTAGATGATGTAAAGAGAAAAAATTCTTAGACTAAATCATAAATCTTTAATAAGAAATCCATGAACCATATTATTTTGTCTTCATTTTCATCAGAATATCTGATATGGTTTAAAAATAGAATTTAAAGATTTAAATAGAATTTATTATTCTTTTATCCATTCCATTATGTTAGCAAATAAAGATTTTTCATTTCTCAAATTAAAATGTTTTGGGAGTAAATAAATAGCTTTAATGAATTTATTTTTTTGATTAATTAGTAAATATAAAGTAAAGTAAATAAATCAAAGTTCAAAAAAAAAACTAATACAATTGTATTAATTGTATTAGTTTTTTTTTTTTTTTGTTTTAGCTAAAAAATTTTGCGGATAAAATAATCTCTCGGAAATAAAATTGAAAAAAAAGGAGTTTATTTTTAGAAACTTAATATTTCAGATATTTTATATTGAACAAAAATTAGTAGCAATAACAAAGTGGAGTGAAAAACTAAATAAAATTTTTTATAATAATTATTTATAACCAAAATTTAGATTCTTTAATCTTTTCAAACTCTATATAATTTCGTTGCTTATTACATCGTTCATTTATCTCAATCTTATTATTTTCTAAATATTTATTCCCTAAAACTATCACCCAAGGATAACCGACCAATTCTGCATCTTTAATTCGATATCCAAAAGATAAATTTATTCGATCATCAATTATTACTTCTCCATTTAATCCTTCACAATTTAAATTCAATAAATCATATAATGATCGTGTCATTTCAATAATTCTTGAATCTTCAGTTCTTTGAATAATACAAACTTTATATGGTGCAACTGATATCGGCCATATTATTCCATTTCTATCATGTGAAATCTCAATAATTGATGCAAATATTCTAGAAATTCCCAAACCATAACAACCCATTTGAATTGGAAGTAATTCACCAGGTGATTTAAAATTTTCTATTGCATAAGTTGCTTTTAAAGGTTCTGAATATTTAGTACCCAAAAGAAATGTATGTCCAATTTCTATAGCTCGATTACTTATCAAAGGATGAAAATTTTGATCTATCGTTAAATTATTATCATTATTATAACACACAGGACAACCATCACAAGATTTGGTATTATGAAAATCGCCTTGGTAAATTTTAATAGTTCCTTCGGATTGACTTTTCTGATTTAATTTCTGAATAATTCTTGGGAGAATGTTATTATTATTAATTGTTTTGTTTTTCATGAGTAAATCCAAATCGGGAATATCTAGTGAAAATGTTTTATCTACATATAAATCTAAACCTAAAATTTCATCAATTTCAGGAAGTTCTTGGATATCTTTGGGTAATATTTCTATTTGATTTTTACCTAAATGCGCTTTTAACTTTAATGCATTTAATTCTCTTTCATTACCCAAAATTATTGCAGAAAGCCTTTGATCTTTGTCAATCCCATATCTAATTGATGGTATTTTGTCCAAATTTAAATCTGATGAATTTGATACAGGAATAATTCCTATCGCACGTTCTTCATTGGAAGAATATCCACATCTTGAACAAGATAATATTAAATCTTCTCCAACTAAATTTTTGTAATTAAAAAAATAATATAAATTGATAACTAGAAACATTAAATAATTCAATCAAAAGTTTTCAATTTAACTTACCACCAGATAAAAAATGAAATTCATGTGATTTTAAGCCACCAATATTTCCTGTATCTGCATCAGCCTATAAGACGATATTAGCATCATAATCATCAGAAATTTGAAAAAAAAATCCACCTTAATTTTTTCCTTTAATTTCTATCAATCTATTTCAAATTAAAGGGGTGGGGTGAATTAAAATTAATACTGACTATAGAGAATGGAAGTCCAATATTCTTAAGAATCTTTTTATATGCTTCAATTACTTCCTCATAAGTTTTTAAAGCCAATTCTTCTGTAGTATCAAATGTATATAAATCTTTCATAATAAATTCACGTCCACGAAGTAATCCTGAACGTGGTCGCATTTCATCACGATATTTCCTACCTGAAATTATATATCTTAATAAATTATTCTTTAAATGGACACAACACACAATGAAAAAGATTATGTATCTATTAATTTATTATTATTTATATACCTATTTGATATAAACGTAAAGGTAGTTGTCGATAGGAAGTTATTTCTTTAGAAATCAACTGAGTGATTTCTTCTTCATGTGTAGGTGCAAGACAGAATTCAGAATCTTTGCGATCTTTAAGTCGAAAAAGCTATTATTATTATTATTATTATTATTATTTGTTGATAGTTATATAATGATCAATATATTAATTATATATGACCAAAAAAAAAAAAATAATAATATCAAGACTAATTAATAAAATTAATAAAATAATGACAAACCTCAGCACCAGCAGTTTCCCATCGACCTGTTTTCTTCCATGTATTAGCACTTAATAATATTGGAAGAGATAATTTTTGTCCACCTGATTACATAAAGTTTCAAAATTGTTAATTAAATTAATAAAGAAAATATCAGAATAAGTTAGATGTTCAATAATGATAAAATAAAACAAACCAATATTCTTCATTTCTTGATCAACAATCTTTTCTAATTTTTCAAGTGATCGTAATGCAAATGGAAGTAAAGAGTAAACACCTGATGAAGACTAAATTTTTATCAAGAAAAAAAAAATAATAATGATAATAAATAAATATAAGATTAAATAATGTTGTTGAAAGAAAGAAACAGATGATATTTTAGAGATTGATATATATCTACCTGCCTTATAAGACCAGCACGAATCATCAATTGGTGACTCTCTCCTTTTACAGTATCATCTTTTGAACTTGAAACATCTTTGGTAGTTGGAAGAAAAGTCTTTGACAAACAATTTCTATGACTAAAATTATTTGTCTGTTCGTGGTTTCAAAAAATTTATAATAATAATAATAATTATTATATATATAGATATATATTATTGTAAGTCAAATAAAGATACGTACAATGGTGCTATAACCAAATGAAAATTGTGAAAATTGATAAAATTGAATTAATTTTTTTAAATTAATTTTAAACGCGTTCATTCCTCGAATCATTCTTAAGATTTTTCTTTTATTTTAAAAAAAAAATTTAAAGATAATCAGTTTTTATAGGTGTTACGATGGTCACACTGTTCAATTAATAAGTGAATTGATCTTTTTAACACATGGTAAATCTTTCTTCGGAAGCATTCATTGAATTCTATGGAAAATTTCGTATCACAATGTGGCGATTTAAATTTCTCTGTGCAACAAATTTTCAAATTTTCGAGATAACAAATATATCACCTTTATGCGTGATAATTGAAATCTTATTAAAACTCTTAAGTTTCATAATAATAATAATAATAAACTGTTCTAAAACTCCCAGAGAAAAAAAAAAGTGACATTTTATACTTTTGATAGATACAATTTTACAGAAAAAAAAATTCCATTAAAATAATTAAAATACGATTTTTTTTTTTTTGGATATCACTTGAAATAAATATAAATCCTGACATGCAAGCAATTTATGACCGAGTTCCTAAACACGAATGTATTGATGAGAGAAAGACTCCAACATCTTCGGGTCACTCATATGTTGATAGAAATAATAACATGACACATGAACATATTACTCAAACTACTGAACGCGTTTATGAAAAAACAGAAATAGATATCATGCAAATTAATGATACTAATGATATTCCCGAAAACTCACGTTCTAATGCTACAAAATCACTTTCAAATTTGGAATGGAATAATAATAATGAAGAAAATGATAAAACTTCACAAGATGCAGATATTTTATGGTGAATTTACATTTATTATTAAATTATTATTAAATTAAAAAAAAAAACATCAATTATCTTAATTAACTTTTTATAAATTTAAATTATGTGAATAATATTAGTCCAATTTGTTTAGACATTATAAAAGAGGCATTTATTGGACGTTGTGGTCATTCATTTTGGTAATTACAATAATTTCAATAATTATAATTTTCTTCTGTATCAAAAATTTTGTTTGAATTTTGTTTAAATTTTGGTTTATTATTATTATTATTATTAATTAGCTACACATGTATTGTCAATCATCTTGATTTACGTCAAGATTGTCCAACATGTGGAACTCATTTAATGAGAGATCAAATTTATCCTAATTTCATATGTTCGTAAAATATTAATTAATATATATTTTTAACATATTCATGCTTTACATATTTATCACATTCAAATTCGTACTTCTAATATTTATTTATTTTAGTGAATAGGATACTGGAGAAATCACCTTCTATTATCTCTTATCAGAATGATTCTATTCCATCTTCACCGGCAAAGCAATTGAAAACAAAATTACTTAAAGATGACTTGAGTATTGAAGGTTTATATCATCAATGTATAATGTATATTTTGATCAAAAATTGAAAATTAATAATATTTCAAATTCTTTTTTTTTTTGGTAATTTTCTTTTTTTTATAGAAATAGATACAATGGTGGCAACACTTTTGGCTAAAAAACAAAAAATCGAATCTATTGAAAGAGAAGATGAATTAGACCTTTTGCTTGACTTCTTGTCTAGAACAAAAATCAAGAAACAAGAAGTATTATTATTATTATTATTATTGTTATTATTAAATATTTAATCTCAATTAATATAAATTAATAATAAATTAATGAATGTTACTCAAATATATCTATAAATAAATATATATATATATAATTTATTATCATTATTACCACCAACTTTAACAAAAAAGTTACTTGCTCAAACCTCTAAAGAAATTAAATGTTTGGAAGAAGACTATGCCGCGATCCAACAAGAAATTGATAATCGAATACAGCGACAAAAAAATATAAAAAATCAAGAGAAGTTAAGAATTAGACAATTATCCTTTGACCTTGAACCTATGGAAATTAATTCAATATCTGAAGAAGTACAACAAAAGGATCAACAGCAACAACAAAAGGGAGATCAGGATCAAATAAGGAAGAGAAAACACACAGTATGTTACTGTTCTCATTAAATTTTAGAAAGGATAAAACCACCATAAACTATGTAGACCTAGATTATTCATTCCCAACTTTTAGGAAGTAGATGATCTTACTGAAGATATTGTAACTTTATTAGACAGGTAAATAAATTATACTTATTAAGTTATATTATATTTATTTATTTAAACTATATTTATTATTAAATTAAATACTTTTAAATTCTATCAAATTATATTCAAATTATATTCAAATTATATTTAAAATATGAATAGTATGCCTTCTTCTTCTTCTTCTTCATCTTCATTGCATGATAGGATAGAAGTTCCTCATGAACCAAATCTACAAAACAAGAAGCAACGTATGATTAAACACCTTGATGACTTGGAGCAATGTTATTTTTCTAATAGATTATCTAATAGTGAGTAAACAATAAGTGAAGTGATACATTATCATACAATAATAATAATAATAAAATTAATCAAATTAATCAAATTAATCAAATTAATAAATAATAAATAATAATAAATAATAATAATAATTATTATTATTATTATTATAGAAAATTCTCAAGGAGGTCTATCTCGCTTTTCAACGACACTTAAAACATTTACCCGATATTCCAATTTTCGTTTGGTAAATACATTACGTTACGGAGATATATTTAATACCTCATCAATTGTTTCAACTATTGAATTTGATAGAGATAATGAATATTTTGCTACGGCGGGTGTGACAAAAAAAATCAAAATATTTGAGTATGGAAATATTGAACGTAATAAATATGGAGATGCATTTGGTAGACATTTATCTTCAAATGGTATTATTCGAGATGGTGGTAGTGTTGGTGGTGGTGGTGGTGGTACGACTGCTGGATCACGAAAAATTATGGATACATTTCTTCATTATCCTATTAAAGAAATGGCATGTAGAAGTAAAATTAGGTATTAACATTTTTTTTTTTTTTTTAGAATTTTATTGAATTTATTTAATTTAAAACATTCATTTCTTTTTTTAATCTTTTTTCAAATAATCTTTTTAATAATAATTATTCTTTAATAATATAATTCATATCATAATTTTTATATAATAGTTGTTTATCGTGGAATAATTATATTAAATCTCAAATTGTAAGTGCGGATTATGAAGGTATTGTTTCATTATGGGATGCAAATACTGGAAGCCAAGTTCTTGAATTTAATGAACATGAAAAACGAGCTTGGAGCGTAGATTTTGGAAGGATGGATCCAACTAAATTAGCAAGTGGAAGTGATGATGCGAAAGGTTTGTTAAATATTTTATTATTATTTTTATTTTCATTTTTTTTAATTAAATTAACAATTTTATTATTATTATTTATTTTTATTATTAGTCAAAATTTGGTCAACGAATCAAAAGAATTCAGTATTTACTCTTGAAAGTAATGCAAATGTCTGTTGTGTAAAATTCAATCCTGAAATCTGTCATCATTTAGCATTTGGAAGTGCTGGTAAATTATTATTATTATTATTTATTTTATTATTATTATTTATTATTATTATTTATATTGAAAATATTTCATTATTTATTATTATATTTAATATAGATCATCATATACATTATTATGATCTAAGACATAGTCGTAAACCACTTCGTATTTATAAAGGTCACCCTAAAGCCGTTTCTTATGTAAAATTTCTTCGACGAAATGAATTGATTTCTGCGTAAGTCTACAGTTTTTTTTTTTTATTACAAATTTATCACGGAAGTATATATACTGTATATATATGTATATATGATATTCAAAAATTTAATTTACCGAAGAGATGAGATCTTATTTTCATAAAAATAATAATTTAAATTTTGGTTAATTTTTTAAAAAAAAATTCAAAATTTAAATAGTTCAACTGATAGTACACTTAAGCTTTGGGATATCGATACTCAAACTTGTGCAAGAACATATACTGGTCATATAAATGAAAAGAATTTTGTTGGTCTAAGTACATCATCTGATTGGATTGCATGTGGAAGTGAGGATAATTCGGTTTTTGCATATTATAAAGCTTTAAGTAAACCTGTTGCTAAATTCAGATTTGGAAACATAAATCCCGTGACGGTCGGATATCTCTTATTTCTTTTTAACATTATATCTATTATATCTATTACATCTAATGATATTTGATATAACTAATCAAATTTGTTTTATTAATTTATCTATTTATTAGGGTGAAGAAATTATGGATGCTGATCCATCACTTTTTGTCAGTTCGGTTTGTTGGAAGAATGATTCAAACACTTTGTTAGCTGCAAATAGTCAAGGAACGATAAAAGTATTGGAATTAGAATGAAATTAAGAGAGCAAATACAATTATTCATTTTATTATTATTAATTTTTTTTTTATATTATTATTCATTTTTTATTAATGCTTTCCAAGAGATTAATATATATCGTACAATAATAATAGTAATAAATGCTTTTAATATTAAAGTTATTTATAAAATGCAATTGTAAATTAATATTTTTTTTTATTAGATCCTTTTAATATTACAAATGCAATTTTTTTTTTTTTTTTGCTTATTAATGGTTATTAATTATTACCAATTTATTATTAATGTTATTTATTTATATAACTAATAATTATTTAATTACAACCAGATTTTATTAGGTTATAATCTTAGGAACACAAACACACGATCATATTTTCTTTTATTTTATTTTATTTATTTTATTTTATTTTATTTTATTTTATTTTATTTTATTTTATTTTATTTACAAAAAAGGGGTGATTATTAAATTAAATTCTAGAACAAATTTACTGTTACATTATTAAATATTTATTTTTATTCCCCACAAGAAAAAGTAACTCGGGAATGATCAAGTGAGATTACAAATTGACCACAAGAGGGGCATTGATTTGATTTATATTGGAGCATTTTAGTCGTATGATACAGTTATGTGCTATCATGTGATCGTGATAATTTTTTTTCTCATTATTTTTTACGAAAAAGGTAATAAAAGGAGGAGTAAAAACAACAAATAGTAATTAATCGAAATCAAGAAAAGTGTCCGTGCGTACAATTACTTTCCTTTTTTTTTTTCATGATCTTTTGGCATTATGATCCAACTTGCTTCTTTTAATATAATGATAATAATATCATACACTTATTGGATATTGTCTTATTATGTATTAACCTAGAAATTATTTACATAATATTTCATAATATTTCATAATATAGTACAAAATAGCTCAATATAGTACAATACAATACAGTATAATACAACATTATAACTTTAATATAACATAATCCTCTCGAAAAGAACTTTTTTTTAAAAAAATAAAAAAAAATGAACCCAAAAAAACTTTATTTGGTATTTTCTTCTTCCTCTTCATCGTTTTATCATTATCATTATTTTTTCTTATCATTTTCTCTCTCTGCCGTGTTTTTTTTTTGTGTCCATCTCCATTGTTTCTTTTTTTTTCACGCACGCATCCTCTTGTCAACGATAAAATTAATTAATTTTTTAATAAATTAATTAATATTTTAATTTTAATTTTAATTTTTTAATTGTGATAAAAACTTAATAAATAACAACCGTGATAAAAATTATGATAAAAGATTATTCATTAATAATTTTATTATTTATAATAATTCTCGTGTGGGGAGAAGAAAATGTATTATCAAAATCAATTCATTCATTTCCAGATAATAATAAAGATGATAAAATTAATAATGATAATACACAACTTTCTCGTAATAAAAATTATTATAATGAAGTGGAAATGTATTTCGTAATAATTCTTGGATTAATTTTTAGTTTAATAAATACTTTCGGAAGTTTATATATATTTTATCGTAAGTATTGAATACATATATATATATATTAATAAATATTATTTTAAAGAAAAAAAACTACATTTAACCGGAGGGAAAATTAACCTGTGGGCAGAATTAAGTTAATGTTGGTAGGGTTAGGGTTAGGGGATTGACCAGGAATTATGTAATTCTGCCTACGGTGAAATTCCCCCCCCCCCCCGGGTGAAAATTAGCATCACTCTATTTTAAATATCTTTTTTAAATATTTGAATTATTTTTCCTTAGAAACGTTCATTAAATTTCGTAATAGCTCTGATTCAAGTTTACCAATTTCTTTAAGATTTCCATTTTATATTGCAATAACAGGTAATATTATTTAATAAAATTATTTGATAATAATATCATTTAATAATAATATTATTATTTAAACATTGTATTGTGTCTTAAATAGATTTCGGATTCAGTAGTTCATTTATAATTAATCTCGTAAGTTTAAAAACATTTCATTTCAATTAATTAATTAATTAATTAAATTATATATATATATTATTTCCATAAAATAACATTAATAATTTTTATAGCTGTATACATTAATACATAAAAGAATAATTCCAAATCCCAATTGTCTAATTGTTGGAAGTATCATGCTATCATTTATAATATTAAATTTATTTCTTATTGGAATTATGGCGATAACTACTTGGCTAAGAGTTGTTCGAGAAGTTCTTAATAATTTTGGAAGATTTGATTATAAATTATGGGGAATTTTAATATTATTAACCATAATTGTTGATATAATATGTAGAAATGATTTTGGTTCGAATAGATATTGGTGAGTGCGAAATTCATTAATTGATTTATAATTGATTGATTGATTTATTTTATTTATTTTATTATTTTATTTATTTTATTTATTTTATTTAGGTGTTCAACAACTCTCAACAGTGTAACTACTCCAACAATATTATCATCTATAATAATGATAGTATTAATTATAATCTTATTTTCATATTTACATGTTCTTACGATAATACGCGAAATCGAAAATCTTAATGATGATTCTGAAAATAATAATTTATCCAATAATAATAATAATCATCATCATAGCAGTAGTAGCAGTAATAATAATAATAATTCAATCCATCGCCTTAATAGATCTATTGAACATAAAGTTACTTTAAAAATATTTCAATACGTTTTAGTATTTATATTACAATATGTTCCTTTCTTGATTTATAGTATTTCTAGATTACTGAAGGTAAATGTTTACATCACACCTTTTATAGAAAAACTTGTGAATGTCATTTTCATATTTCTCATCTCTTATATATATTTCATCTGTATTTTAGACCGAATACTTTATAATCTATTTATTACTTGTATGTGGTATGTGTATTAATTTATAATTATATTTAAATTTCATTTTTATGCTTTAATTCAGTGTTGACAATGTTGAGACAAAAAAAAAAATTTTTTTTTAAAATGTAAATAGCACAAAATTTTATTATTAAAGCCTACTTTGGGCTTTTAATTAAAGTTGTTTAGAATCGATTTTTATATTTATTTATAAAGTTTTAATATCTATTTATAAGCTAGTTAAGGGGACATGCAAATTTGACAACACTACTTTTATTTATACTTTAATTTATATTTAATTTATATTTTTTTCTTCTCTAGCCTTTAATTTAGGTGGAATAGGAAATCTTTATCAATATATAAAACATGAAGTTTCGAATCCTCCCGTATTACCGGATTTAACGGATCTAACGGATTTAACGGATTTAAGTGAATTAGAATTACCATCAACTTCTTCATTTGACAGTAATAATAATCAAATTAAAATATCAATAAATAATAGATAATAACAAAAACACGAAAAATGCAAAAAAAAAAAAAAATCAAAATAAAAATAAAATAAAATAAATTAATTAAATGTAATAAATATTATTCAATTTACAAATTTTATTTATAGAGTGATGTTAGAATATCTGTTATTTATTAATCTACACTAAAAGAAAGGAAGAAAGAAAGAAAATAATAATTAATAAAAATGTTTTAATGCTAATAAATAATAATAAATCAATAATACAAAAATTTTTATTTGAAAGAAAGAAAGCGAAGGAAAGAGAGGTGTGAGAGAGGTGTGAGAGAGGTGAGAGAGAGAGAGAAAGAGAGAAAGAGGTGAAAATGGTCATTTTATAAATACAAAAAATATATATATTTTATATGCCTAAATCCGCCCCTTAAAAAATTAATATTAATCTAATGAAAATATGACCTCTAAGTGATATAACCTCTAAACTAAAAATAAACTAAAATAAAACTAAATCAAACAAAAATTATCTAAAATTAGGGTTATATGGATTTTGATTTGGATATTGTGGAACATTATTATATTGTTGTTGTAATGGTGGTGCTACATTATAATGATTATAATTGATATTATTATTATTATTATTATTATTATTATTATTATTATTATATGTATTAATGTTATTATAATCATTATATATATTATTATTATTACTAATAATCATATTATTATTATTATTATTATAATTATTATTAACTGAATAGTCATAATATTGTTGTTGTGGTCCAAGTTCTTCTGAATGAATTGATGATTCATAATATTCTCCATCATATTGATGTTGTGCTTGTGATAACAATAATGATGATCGGGAATCATCTTCCATAGGTTGATGTGTTAAATGTGTTGGTCCGTTGGTTGCTTCCAATGCTGCTCTTTGTCTTTCTTGTCTCTTAATTCTTTTTATTCTCATTCTTTCCCAATCTTCCCATCTTTTTAATGGAACTTTAGATGCATCAAATGTTCCTTCTTTTTTACCGTGATCATCTCCTTTAGCTTCACCTTCGACTTTTCTTGTTTCCCCCCATGAAAAATCATCAAAATGCCAATATGCATATGTTGGTAATACAAAATTCCATATCGGTAATGCAAAAAGATATATAACTAACCATGCTAAATATACTAATTTTCGTGTGGTTATAAGAATTAATACCCCTGGTAATCCAAGAACAAATCCCAACATCATTAATGGAATTGCTTCCGCGAAATTTTTTGGTGGTTGTAAAACGGATTTAACAATTAATGAATATGTTAATGCTATAGCAACCGGAAGTACTACTGTACCAATTAATTCCAAAAATATTACAAATTGCATAGAAAAACAAAATGTTCCACATAAATTTCTAACAAGAACGAGTTCCATAAGATTATGAATTGTTGAATTAATCCAACGACGACGTTGTGATAATAAAACCAAGAAAGTATCTGGTACAATTGTTTTACAAACGGCTTGTGGACAAAACATCATTTTACGATGTGGGAAATTTCTTAACATTAAAGTTGTTAAGAATCGATCTTCTCCCAGAAGTAATAAATTTTTTTCATGAAGTGTTACCACTACATTTTGTGAATATTCTTGAACAATTTCTGGTTTAGTAATAATTGGTACCCAATCATCATCTCCTTTACGTGCTTTAAGACGATACATACAAAAACATCCGGGTAAACATGTTACACCACCAAATACTGATTCAAATCCTTTACCCAAATGATGGGAAATATAATATTCAAAAACTTGAATTGCTGTCACCCACGAATCACGTTTGTTGGCAATCTTGGTTTCTCCACAAAGACCCATAATAAGTTGATCATTGCACATACAATTAATTAAAAGTCTTAAAGAATTAGGATAAACTTTAGTATCAGCATCCACCTAAAAAAAATATTAATTATTATCATTTTTATTAATTATTTTATTTAATTATTACCAAAAAATAATATTAATTCTTTAAAAAAATTAAATAATAATAATAATAATAATAATTACCATTAATACAATTTCAAAAAAGTCAGGAGTGACCTTCATTAAATAATGAATTTTTCTAAACAAGTCATAATCCAAAGCACACATGCGATCATTGTACGTGACTCGACTAAAGAAGTTCATCAAAATTAATTGTGAATCACGTTTTCCTCTATTACCAGGTTTTGGTTTTCCTTGTTCGCTAGGTGATCCGCATTTAGAAACGCAAACCATAGGAATTCTACGATCATGATATACTATTTTATAATAAAAAATTATTTATATTAATTAATTGAATTTATTCATTTAATTAATTAATTATTTATTTATTTATTATTATTATTATTAAATTAAAAAATATTCAGAAATTTTTTACTTACTGAAAAATCCAGCGTGAACTTTGGCCATATTATGTTGTTTTATTCCGGAAGCTACAGCGATATAACTTTGTGGAGCAGGATCGCGGTATGCAGGTTCTAATATAAATATATAAAAATTAATATAATTAAATTAAATTAATATAAATTAAATAAAATTAAATAATAATAAAATTTTTAATACGTTACCAATATCCATAAGGCCTACACATATTTCAGGAGTACTTTTATCGTTACCACTACCAACAATTTCACCATCACAAACAAGGAATAACAATTTACGATCATCGGGGTATTCAGTGGCAGCCATCGATTCACAAGTACATCTTATACCAGCTTCATCTTCAGAGTAACATGTGACAAGTAAGACAGTGAACAAATCATTACCAATATTATCCATACTCGTGCCTCTGTTACCACCATTTTTCCAAGGTGTATTCTTTGAATTAACATAATCAGATTTTTTGGTTTTTGGTTTATGAGCGAGACGATGAGAAATAAACCAATCAAATACACAAGCCATAAAAAATCGAACTAAAACAACTCCCAATATCACGGTTAAAGAGACGTATAAAAATAATTGTGAAGTGAAGCATCCAATCGTTTGTTTGTCAATATTTCCAGCGTAATATTTTTTGACAAGACAATTAACACTCTTTTTTAAATCTTCCTTTGCAAAAAATAAACGAGTTGCATCTTTACCACCTTGAACATGACTAGAATTTAAAACTGTACGAATGATTTTATCCATTCTATCATTGGGTAGAGGAGGAGTAGAATTCATATATGGTTCAAGGTTAAGTACGTTACCATCGATAACTATATAATTCTTTAATCCAGAAACTTGACTCCAATCGTAACCAACTTTTTTAGAAGTATTATAAATATTTAAACTTTCAAAAGTTTCGTTACTAATTGTCGCAAGAGGACAAGTACCATTTCCTTCACAAAGTTTTTGCTTGACAGCCGCGTACTTTTGAATTGACACAACTTGACAATCTGGTATTATAACATTATCACGCTTAAATTTATTTGTCACATCTTGTCCATTATGTAAAAGCGCAAGAGTTCGTAAATCAATATCATCAGTAGTCTTTGCATTTGACACGTTAAATTGCCATCCTAAAATACCGAGATGACCTAAAAAAAAAAAAAAATTAAAATATTTGTATTAATATAATATTAATATAATAATTATGTAATAACGATGATATAATAATAATATTTATTTATATAATAATAATATTTATTTATTATAATTATTAAATAATGTTATATTAAAAATTTTAAAAAGTATTAACCTGGAGCATCTCCATATCGTTTAAAATTATCCGGATTATTTGATTGTGAGGGAGGACATAATACGGAAGCGAATCCAACTGTTAAAAAGGCAACTATTCCACCCATAATTAGAGCAATAAAGCACAAAGCAATTTTTTCTCGCCACGCTTGTTGTGATTGTTTATCAGAAAGGCCAGTATATGATAAAAGTGCACCGGGAGCCCAAAAGGTAACAACTTTAGAAAAAAAAACCCATAAATCAAATGATTCTTCTTTTTTACCAGGTAACATAGGAGCTGTCGCTTGGTATCTTTCAGGCCTGCTGAGAGTTTTACCACGACCTAGAGAGGTGGGAGTTCTACTCGGTGTAGGCTGCTGAGTACCATAACCAGCCTCCATATTGAAAAATAATGAAAATGTCTATGCAAATATGCAAATAACAAAATTGTATTTTATATTATTTATATTTATGAATTTATGAATTTTATGATTGTTATGAAATTTTTATGATTGCTATTATTATTATGAATGTTATGAATGTTATGAATTGTTATATGAATACTATTAATAAAATTTATAATAATGAATTTTATTTGTGAAGGGAGAAGGGAGAAAGGTTTCGAAATGGTATTTCTCTCTATATTAAAGATTGAGGATGATTAAGGTAAGTTGATGAAAAATTAGAAATAGGCTTAGGTAATGGTTACAAGTAACCGAATGATAATCGAATGAGAGATAGAGAGAGTGAGGAAGGAGGAGAGGGTAAAAATATAGAGAGAAGATAGAAAGAGAATTATTGAAGATAATGAAACGATAAATGCAAAAATATATCGAATATCGAATTTTGTGTGACAATGCCTTAATTAAATAAATTAAATACAGGATATATGTGCGCTTTAAGGAAAGTGTTACAATAAAATGAATGCGATAAGATTATTTCTCCTTTCTTCTTTTTAGGGTACACGAATTATTATTAGAGAGTTTTTTTAGCTCAACAAAATATTCTTTATTTTTAATATTCTTTTTAATGATTTCAATAAATTGGTTTTTACCATAAAAAAAATTAAAAGAATGTCAATTAAAATCATTTAGGATAAAAATAGCGATTAAATCATAATTTGATTTGTTCCCCTATATTGACATTTTCGGAATATACGTTTAGAAATTCCATTTTGAGCAATAAGAAGATAATAATAATAAAAAAGAATATAATGAATAATAACAATTAATAAAATAATAATAAATAAGGGTCCATTTAACAACAAAGACTTCAGTTTTAGTACACTATTTCGCATTAATGAGATAAATAACACACTTGAATGTACTATTTTGAACTCAACAGATTTAAGACAACTTCTCCGAAAACAAACAATTCAGTATTTTTGTTCCACACACACGAAACATACTACGAAACGCTTTTTACAGTTCGCATATACATACGTACAAGAATTATTTTTACAACTCAATAGACAATAAATAAATAGACAACAATAAACATTCAATGATAAAATAATAAATAAATATTACTTGTATTAATTAAATAATAACAATATCAATAATATCATGTCTCTTAATGAAAAAGAAGTTGTCATGTGTAACTTTTATTTTGACTTCCAATTTTGTCATATGTTTATAAATGTTGCCATGTGAATTATGTGAATTGTATGAATTGTATTTGAATTGTGTTTTCGAAAAATATAAAAATTCCGCCGAATTCGAAAAAAAAAATTTTTTTTCATTATTTATTATTTATTCGAAACATTGTCTCTCTCACGTGAATTATTACATTAAAAAATTTTTAAATAAATCTATATTGAAATAGAGATAACTAAATAGGGAAAAAGATATAAATATATATTATTGTTATTATTTTTATAATATTTCTTTATCTGTATAGTGCTACTAAAATTTCTCCATACATATCTAAGAATTTTGGATATTTTTCATGATTTTTTAATATATTATTGTAAGCTTCCGTTTTAATGATTTTTTGAAAATTAGCAACAATAAATTTCTCTAATTTATTTTTTAGAGAAGGCAACCTCCAAGAATATCCAAAGTATAATTCCGCAGAATTTTCAATATCTATATCATTGAGTAATCCTTTTGGTTCCAAACTTCTTAAACCTCGAATTTGATATTTATCCGCCAAAATAATTAAATCCCATGTATCTGATTTCTTTTCAGGTTGAACTCCGATTGATGAATCATTTGTATACGCAACTTGAATCATATGTAAAACTGAATTATATTCAAAATCTTCTATATTATATTCTTCATAACAATTATAATGACGTTCGGAATCTTTGTTAGATTGTTGATTATCAAAACATTTTTTCCAATATGGTGAAATTTTTGAAAGGACTTTACTATTCACAAATAGAGAATGACCTTTAACATTGAACTTGACATCTAATATGGGTCCTAGAATTGCATCCACCCTTTCCGGATTTGATAATTGTTGGGTAATTGTAATGTCTTTTGAAAGTGGTTCAATATATTCGAGTATGTTTTTCATTTCATTTTTATCATTCATTTCAATTTTATAATCTATTTCACTTTTGCAATCCATTTCACTTTTATATTTCATTTCGTTTTTATGGTTCATTTCATTTTTATATATCATTTCATATTCCTCGTCGTTTTCTTCATATTCTTCATACTCATTTTCATCGTATTCTTCGTATTCATTTTCATCGTATTCATAATATTCATGTTCAACGTATTTGTTATTAATTATAGAATCACGACTCGTCGAATGACATTCAACGAATTCATTTCTTTTTTGGGAATCGCGGTTCATTTCAAATTTATGATCCATTTGATATTCGCAAGTCATTTCAACCGTGATTATAATGGTACCACGAAGAGAGGATTTTTTGAACTTTTGAAAAAGGGCTAAAATAATGATGATGATAATAAATAGATAAGTATTTTAGGATTTTCTTTTTTTTTTTGGTTTTGTTAAAATGCTTACCACTGAAGTTTTGGATAGGTTTGATATCCTTTCCTTCCGAGTTTTTTACAAAAATGTGAAAAACTGTTCCAAGTTTTTTGAAAAAGTCTGCACTATCGAAAATATTTTTCCTACCATCTTCTAAGGGTTCAATAAATACAAAGCAGGTTGATTCACAATCCTATTATTTCAAAATATTTTTAAGAAATTAGTTTAATAATAAAGTAAAAAATATTATTATTATTATTAACAATTTAAAGGTATTTTATTTACCGGTCTGATCGTTAAGTGCCAATATTGGTCGTATAATGTTTCTTTTATAAATGGTGGGCTGTGAATAATTCTATTAAATTTATCAGCGTTGGTTAATTTTAGTTCAAGGAAAGTAACTCTCCGATAATTCATATTAAATGGATAAAGTGAGTTTAAAGATACGCAAATTTTGGATTTTTCATAGGAAAAAAAATTAAAGATGCCACGTGTTTCCCAAATTTGTTTATCACGTGATATCCGGATAAACCCTTTATAGAAACATTTTTATATATGAAATAAATGAAATTAAAATGCTAAGTCTTTATAGTCTTTAATAATACTTTGATTTTTTTTATTATTTTAAGATTATATATACAAATGCAAAAATTTGAAGGAAAAAATTATTCATTAATGATTCCATTAATGATTGAAGTGTTTTAAATCTATGTCAAAAAAGTTTCATAATTATACAAATTATGTGAATCATATAATTCACGTGATTGTAATTATAATGTAAACAAAATATTACTAATATTAATATATATACAAATATTAATAACGTCATCTTTAATAATGTTATATTTGTTATATTTAAAATAATAACGTCTCTTTAATAACGTCTACGTTTGTCCCCTTTTCCAAATGGCATTGGCTGCATTAATTCTGTAATATGTTCAACTGAGCGATTTAATTTTACAGGTGGACGTGGAATGGGAGGCAATCCTCCTTTCTTTAATGTAATAGATTCGGGTTCTTCTTCAATTTCCCTATCAACTCTTTCTCTCTTTTTAGGATTCGAAGGATAAGGAATAGGTCCACCCATTCCTTCGGTTCGAATCGTTCGTTTTTTACTGAGTGAAATCATATCTGGTTCTTCATCACGATCCCTTTCTGAACGATCTCGTTTCTTAGAGGGACCAGCAATAGATCTATCACCGCGATCATTCCTTGTAAATGGCATATCTCGATCGTCTCGAATATTTCGATCAATTAAATCATGGTCATTTTTACGAGGACGGCGTGTAAGGTTATCTTCTAAATGACGCCTACTACGTCCATTATCATTACGATGACGGTCACGGTCTTCCCTATCACGATTATGTTCGCGTTCTCTCTCTCGTTCAATTTCTCGGCTTCTTTCTCTTTCCTTATCTTTTGTTTTATCACGCTTATCTTCGCGACGATCCTCACGACGATCTTCACGTTTTTCACGTTCCTTTACCTTATCTTCACGATCACGAATATCACGGTCTCTCGGTCGAGGATGGTAATCAGCTCTCTTGTTGCGATCATCCATTAGAAGCCTTTCTTTACTGGCTTTCCTTTTTTCACCATCTAATCTAAGAATCTCGGGTTTACGATCACGATCCCTTCCTCGATCGCGTTCATGATGATCAGAAGACTTTTTGGCATCTTTATGATCATCGATTCTCTTAATATCCTTTTCGCGGTCATTCATAATTTCTTTTTTATCTTTCATTCTATTCTTATCACGATCTTCTTCCCGTTCCCTATCGCGTTCTTTTTCACGAACTTGAATACGATCTTGAGGCTTATCTGGTAAAGGATGAATTTGTCTTCTAGGACTATCAGTCCTTATCATCGTATTTGGATGAGAAGGTGAAGAATGGGCACTTTTAACATTAGGAAGAGGACTACTGACTCTGTTAACCACATGACTTTGAGCTATTTTTTGCGCAGATGTTGAGTGATTTCCTTGTGAAGCAGAAGAACCTGGTCTAGAATTCTGTTGATTATTTTCCGTATGACGGAAATCTTCAAGACCAACCCAATTCTTTTTGTCAGATTGTAGCCTTGCCGAATAACTTATGGCTAAAACTTCAATATCTTTCCATTTATTATGTTGATCCGATATTACATTCTTAATTAAATTTTCAACCTTTTTGCCAAAAATGTCAATAGCCGGGAAGTATTCATGTATTGTACTTATTACAATAATTGAATTTCTTAAAGAAAGGTATTCTTGTGATTGAAGACCTTGTTCAAATGCCTTGTAAAGCTTTGAATGCCATTTATAGAATACCCTTCTAAAATCTTGGAATCCTAATAAATCTGTTTCTGAAACGCTTGCAGGTTGACGATTCTGGGAACTCCATTTCATTTGGAATCCAGGAATTCCTTTCCCTTTGCCAATTTCATTATAAATTTTTTCGTCTCTGTGAAGACTACTTAAAGACTGTAATATTGTTTTAAGAAAAAGACCATAATTCCGAGCTTCTGCTTCAGAACAAGTGAAAGTAATTAATTGTAATTGATCTGCGAATATTCTATCATAAAGGGTCAAGGTCGAAAAATTTGCCGTTCCAATTTTATGCATTCTTTCAATAAATTTGGCGCAAAAAATTGCATTATCTGGTGATATGAGTAGACGAGGAAACAGACAATATTGCCATAATTGAGTTATAATGTCCTGACGGTTAGAAAATTGACCCGAAAACCAATGCTCCTTTTCAATCTTAAGCCGTTCTTCGATCGCTTTCATGTGCTGACCATGTTCAACATATTCATCCTCCAAATATTTTAAAATTTTAGTGTATTTATTTACGTCCTTGCTAACATCATCCATTATATGATTTTGACATTCTTGTATTGCTTTGTTATATTCAGCTCGAGGAAATTCTAAATCATATAATGACAATTGCCAAAAAGAAGTGTAAAAGGACGGACTAATCCCATTCCACACATAAGGTGGTAAAATTTCTTTGACTTGATCAAAAAGTTGATACAAGGGATATCGCCAAATCATCGGCTCCGATTCAGAGGTATTATTTGCGTCCGTAACTACTTGCCTGGATAAATCGGAGTGTCCATTTTGCTTTGATGTCTCATGTGTTCTCTCAGGTGTTGAATGTTTTCCTATATTTTTAGATTCCCTTGACTTGTGACTCTTTTTCTTTAGAAAATGATTATGAAAGGGTCTGAGAATGCTGAATGCATATTCCGGTTTTAAAGCATATACTTTACAAAGTTCAATTATTGAAGGAACGATCAAAGCGAATTTTTCCATATCTAATGTAACCGCCAAAAAATCTACATATTGTATGAAAGTTCGGCGACATATATCAGCTCGACCAATAACCGATTTAAGATCAAGAGTGGAAGATACTTCAATATCAAATGGAACACTTTGAGTCATTTGTGCAAGTAACGCTGCAAATTCAGTGACAATTCCCTTAGACATGAGTGCATTAGCTAATCGCATTGAAGCTTTTCGATAACTTTTTATAACATTGCGATTAAATAATTTGGTATCTCGTAAATGCTCTCCACCCGCCATTATAATTAAATCAGTATCTGATGGGATTTCGGTGTATTCTATCCCGGACATTTTAGTAATTATCTGACTAACTAGAATCTAAAAAAAAAAAAGGAAAAGAAAAATTAGAAAGTCATTTTCTAAGTTAACAAATATTAAATAAATAATTAAATTAATTAAATAATTAATTAAATTACCAAGTCATCAAAACTACGCTCTCGTAATTTAATTAAGACGTATTCAAGTATAATGGCAATGTTTTCACTATCAAATCTTTCGTATTTACTGCAAACCTTCCCAATAAATATCGCCATTCGATACATCCAGTCACTAGGATTAACTCCATCTTCTTTAAGCTTTGGTCTTGACTCCTCTATTATGCTTTCAACAAACATGTAAGTCAAAACATCGAAATCCATTCTTGTTAAATATTTACAGACTTCGACCATTCCATCTATTAAATCTGGATTCATTTTAACTTTTCTAAGAATAAAATCAAATGCCACCGTAGGTCTTGAGTGAGTAACTAAAGCTATTTCTCGAGCCTTTTGTTTATAATCTTCTGATGTCATCGCATTGGTAAATTTGATAAGTTTTTTTGTTGCTTTCTTTCTTCGTTCTCTTAATGGTTCATGTTGATCATAAACCCTTCTCCATTCACTCCAAAGTCCGAAACGATTTTCAACTGGAAAAAATTTCAGTATATCCCATACTTCATTTAATACTCCAACTGTCATACCGGACATTGTCATTGCCGGTAATATCGTTATTCTTATTATGTCCCACCAATTTGATTCAATATATTTCAAATTATTTTTATTATTTTTGGACTTTCTTGCTTCAACGATATGATTATAACAAATTCTTAAAATCCAAGATAATAAAATTAAATTTTTAGCGAACCAAGGACCTATTAATCCAATAAGTAATCGACCACTCGCTTCAAATAAATCTTCAAATTTATAAAATACAGGAAATCCCTCTTTCCAACGTTTATACCATGTTCCAATGTGAGAACCAACTTTAGGTTCTTTTAATTTAATGGGAGCAATTGGATTGTAGATTTTAAAAATTGATAATTTGAGAATCTCACAGAGATATTTTGCAATGTGCTCATCCAATGATTCTAACTGTAATAATAAGTAACATGCATGTTGGAAATCTCCAATCTCCAAAAGAGCACATACTAATCCTTTTTGATGTTGTTCTCTATTTGAAGGAAAAGAAGAATCATCTTCCATTCCAGAAAAAGAATTTGAACTTTTTGTAGTTGGAGGAACTGGAGGACTTTTAATATGGGGATAAAGATCGGATATCTTGACCAGACCACGATTGATCAAAAGTGCAGAGGTGATATAGAGGGATTGATAAATGTCCTGATCCATATCAGGTCCTTCATATCTCGTATATTTTGTAGCTAGAAGTTCAGCGCAGTTAAGGTTACCCGAATCTCTTGACCAATCATCGGAAATAGGAATTCCTTTGTCTTTATTAGCAAAATCTGAAGGTTGCCAAGGTGAAATTTCGAGCAATCGTAAAAAGAATTCATGATGAGGTTTGACATTATAAACAAATTCATCTAGTATTATATCTAAGACGCGATTAGGATCTAAATGAAAGTATCCTATTAAAATAAATTAAATAAATTAAATCAACAATTAATTAAATTAAATTAAATTAAAATTAAAATAAATATATTAAAATAATTAAAATAAATTAAATAAATTAAAATAAATTAAAATAATTAAAATAAATTAAATAATAAATTAGTCACAAATACACGACTAAAACACGGACAAACTTAATAATAATTTCAATAATTACCTATTAATGTCTTTATCGTTTCTAATAAAGTATTTGCCCGTTGATTCAATGTTTCATCGTTAACTCCATTATTTATAATACAATATAAATTTATTTCATGTAATAGCTTTGCGTAGCCTTCGGATTCTTCTCGTAAAAGATTATACTTTTGTTGCTTATACGTCAGGGCAGTATTGATTCGAATGCATTTTCGACCCCAGACTTGAGGTTCAACGACTTCGGCGGCCTCTAAAAGAGGTACTTCAAGTTTTGTTTTAATTGCTCTAACGTCGGCTAGCCTGAGTATCTAAAAATAAATAAGTTAAATATTATGTTTATTATTTAATAATAAAACTAAAGAAAGGAACGAAAGAAGAGAGAGGTAACTAAGATTTCATTCAACTTTTAAGTATTTACATGTAATCTTTTAACGAGTTTTACAAGTCTGTCCCTCGTGTTGATAGGAACAATATCATGATCGTAAGTCCATAGGGTATCAAGAACTATCTCTTGAGCTTTCTCGTTTAGTTCAACTGGAAGGTCTTTAAATATAACATCAACGTGGTCAACTTCTTTTTCACCTTCAAGGATATTGAAAAGTGATTCGGTTATTGTTTGTTCCAAATTTTCCATTATTTAATGTTGTGGATGGGAATAATAATCGTTAATAAGAAAAATATAAAAAATATTTTTCTTTTATTATACCCTGTTATCCGTTATTTAATTAAAAGATCGCGAATTACAGGGGTCGAAGTCAATAACACTGGTAACACAAATTGAATTATGAAAAATTGGAGGCACGTGAGAATTTAAAAATTATATAAAATTATATAAAAATAGCTTCAGTGTAGTCTCAGCAATTCAAATGCAATTTTATTGGCCCGTGTGCATAAACGTGATATGGGATGATTTGTTCTGTTTTAAATTTTAAAATAAAAAAAAAACTTTGAAAACTTTATAATTATGTTATCCAAATCTCATTTAATAATTATATCTTTTTGTGATACATTTTTACAATTATTTTTTCTTTTACAAAAATTTGAAATGATAATCAACGATATAAAGGATATCGATGTCAATCAAAATGCAGTGATATAAACTTCGAAAGATATTTGTTAATAATACAATGCCAATTAAAATTGTTACAAAGAATAGTTAGAACTCATTATAACTTGTTATGCACAGGTTTATTTATAAATATAGAAATTCAATTAACTACTATTGTATCTTGCATGTAATGTATAATTTTAAACTTGTTGAAAGTGTACAATTTTATGAAATAGAAGTCACATATTTGTATTATTTGTATTATATTATAAAA